AGTGATTGTAACAGACCGAGCTGTAATTGATTCTTTTGCCTGACTAGTGTATTTTATTTTATCTTCATGGCTGAAGGAAAGCCCCCAAACCACCCAAATAATTTTGCTGATACATATTATTCTATAGAAAACAAATTATACTATAGAAAACATCATGTACATGTTGTAATAGTAAAACTATAGAAATGATTGCTACTAAATGTTCTGTCCCCTCAATTAAAACGCTAGATGACCCTTTTTGTATGCTTATCAAGGAATTTTTGGAGGTTGATAGTGCACCCAAATAAAAAATAATACATGTAAAACATGCCCTCCCCCCAATTGAAATGATTTTCTATGGGTGACCCTGATCTTCATATTCCAAGTAACTGTCAAGAACTACTAATACATGGCGTCAATTTTGTTCTCTTTGTAACTGTCGTACAATCTTACCTGCTGAGGACTGCAGAGACACATTTCTCTAGCCGTCTAAGGAACCACTTCTGGAAAGAAGAGATACCGTCCACTGGACATTTCCCATTTCACCATATCGTCCGTGACTACATCGATCTGCTGAACAAGGAAAAATCATTGAAACATTACTGATAAACTGTTTTACACTGAAATTTGGAACAATAAAAACTGTCAAACTTGCACTATTAAATGGAAAAAAATGCATTTATTTCAAGACAACTCACCTGGGGTAAGAATTTAAAAATCCATGCCAACTTTAGAACAAGGCAAATGATTCAACGGAAACATCCCACACTCACATTCAGCAGGGCGGCCTGTCAACAAAGTTAACAACAGAAAATTCCCACCAAAATGAACACGTGACTAAAGATCGAGAGATCAAAGTGCACCCAATGAAAAACCGATATATTCTATTTATAGGATCAACTGAACTAACAGTGAATAATGCTCTAGCTTGTTCACAAGACTCACCTTACTTTAAACTAAATCCGAATCACGACTGTAACAATACCCCACCCCCCACCCTCCTGCAAAATGTAAATAATAATCACTTTATATTGATGTCATTATCCTGATTTTTTTTTTATGTTACAGTGTATTTGATAGCTATAATTAATTTTCACTCTAACCCATTCCTTCCGGATCCATACGCTACAACAAATATTCTTTTTATTTTCAACTGCGCTTTTTATTCACATTTTGAAATTTTATTTTAGTTTGAATCATTTAAGCACGCACATATGATTCGAAATTTTTCCCATCCAGAGGGGTTAGAAGTCCATAAATTATTTCTAAAGTATTTATTTTATTTATTCAATTTACATCGGCATTTTCATAAACTACTCGTATCTTAATTATTTTGATTCTAAATTTTGAAATTTTGTTTCAATATGCCTGCTCTATCGTCAGGCACGTAGCAACGGAGGGGGGGGGGGGGCTGCCTCCCCCCACTTTTTTCCCAGCATTACATTTACTATTGAAAATGTCCACTGAAAGGTTGGTTGGCCCACTTTTTACCACAGTGTAGAGATATCAAGGAATTGTAGTATTGTATGCAAAAAAATGGACTTGAAAGGAAGATGGCCTTGAAAGAAGTTGGCCACTACCACTGTGCAAAGTTCGAAAAAACTATTTTTAGCATAGAGGTCAAAGTCATGGTCACAATGTCAATGGCCTTGGTGTCATTTGAAGGAATTTAATCAGTGGAGTATGCATACCAAATATGAAATCTCTATTTCTCGCGGTTCAAAAGTTATGGCCAAGGTTAAAATTGACAACAGACAGACAGATAAACAGAGAGGACAAAAACAATATACACCCAATATATCGATCTGTGCGCATAATAATTTAGATCTTTGAAAAATCGTTATAAAGAATCTAAATTTTATTGTTTTTTAAATATTCTAATGCAGCATTAGTTCAGCTACAATCAATTCACCAACACTCATCCCAGGAATTTAACATACAAGGAAGCTCTAAACACTCTATGATTTTTTTTCTGACTTTTCAAATAAAGGTCCCATATTGAACTTTTCTACTTCAACATTCTGCAGTATACCTATACGTATATGATACTTCTGCAGAAAAAATGTTCGTACGCAGTGTAGTATGACACAGTGATGTATTAATGATGTATTAATTAATCGTCAAAGACTTAATGATCACTTTATACAGACCCTCTATAGCAAAATGCAAACAGAATCAAAATGTTATATTTATAAGCATTTAAGGGGGCCGACTATAGTTTCATTGTGTGAAAACTACAATAGCGAAACACTTCATTTTTATACCATATATAACTTACATTAACTACAGTGTACATGCAAAGTTTGGAGGAAATCTACCGTCCAGGTATTTTTGAGGGACCGTCTCAAAATACGGGTACATTTACTATAGGATTATATAGGAAAATGCCAATTTTTAGCACTTTAAAGCAAATTATACAAATACTACAATAGACATTTTATTCAAACTATAATATATTATGAGTAATACTATATTATACAATATATGTAAGAAACACAAAATTCTACCGTCTTGTTAACAGAGGGGGCATCTTAAAATGCTAAAAATTAGCAAATTTTACTATTTTTATAGAATACTACAAAATAAGACGTACACAATAGATTCACATGAAAACATGATAAAAATATTGGAGATATTCTAAAATGTCTATATTTTAAATTTCAAGAGTGTATCTGTATTACTTTTTCTTTAATAATATTTTTATTACCCCTTTCTTTAAGAGCTACATATTAACATAACGTCAAAAAGACACTGCAGCGACGTCAACCTACCTATCAATTGCAAAATCGGTTAAAAAATCAGTTATATCAAATTGTAATTACATTTTTACATCTATAATTTCTTAATTTTGTTTGATTTTAATAATTAAGCGAAAACAGTTGCATTAAAACAGTAAATACGCTTCATTTTACTATGTTGCGCGAAATATTGCGCAATGGAAACTATAGTCGGCCCCCTTAATTGACAATTTTTGCTTGCAATATTATTTAGAAAAATCGACCAAAGGTGTACAAAAATGTATTTCTAAAATGAGGTTGTCCTCGCATAATCTGTTTATTGAAACGGGTAGGCATAAAAATATAACAAGAGACAAAAGATTCTGTAAAATATGTACTACAGAAATTGAAGATGAATATCATTTTTTACTTGTATGCCCAATTTATTCAACATTGCTATCAAAGTTTTCCAAAAAATATTATTGGTATAGGCCATCTATGTACAAATTAATACAGTTGCTAAGTGTGAATAATGTAAAAGAATTATGTAATTTAGGGAAGTTTATCTATAAAGCCCTCGCGCTTAGAAATGATTTAATAATGTAATTGTGTGTCATTTGCTGATTTGTGTCATTTACTTCTATATTGTTGATATGATTATATCTGCTATATTACATGCCATTCTCCATATGAACTGTAAAGACTGTTAATACGAGTTTGTATGTATATATGCCAGCCATTATTTCCTTTATTTCTTTTGTTTATATATTGTATTAATGCTATATAAGACGTATGTCTTTTGCAATAAAGAAATTGAAAAAAAGACTGAAAGCACTATTTGCTTTATATATATGTAGATAATTGGGGAAAAAATTAAATATTGGTGTAATATTGAATTTGTTGAGAAACTTGCTCAATTTCATTTATTCCATTTTATATCAAAAATCAGATCATCAAATGTGCATCATAAAATTACTCCAATCTGATTAAATCAGATCCTCGATCTGCTCTTTTAGTTTTAGCTCACCTGAGCCGAAAGCTCAAGTGAGTTTTTCTGATCACACTTTGTCCGGCGTCCGTCTGTCTGTCCGTCCATCTGTAAACTTTTCACATTTTCGACTTCTTCTCCAGAACTATACTAGGCCAATTTCAACCAAACTTGCTACTAAGCATCCTTGGATGAAGTGATTCAAGTTTGTTCAAATAAAGGGCAACATTCTCATTCAAGGAAAGATACTTTAGAAACTGTGAAAATTTGGTGGAGTGTTTTAAAAATCTTCTCAAGAACCAATCGTGCCAGGAAAGATGAAACTTATGAGGAAACATATACATCTTTCAAATCGTCTTTTCAAGAATAGCATGGCCATGATTGGTCATATTTGTGTGGAAGCATCCTCAGGTAGTGAAGATTCAAATTTCTCTGGGTCATGGCCCCGTGTGGTAGGGCGGGACCTCAAAAGACTTGCAGAGTTTTATATAGAAATATGTAGGAAAATTTTTTAAAATATTTTTCTCAAGAACAGCAAAGCCATGATTGGATATATTTATATGGAAGCATTCTGAGGTTGTGCAGATTTATCATTTCGATTGTTCAATTCATGACCAGGCGGATTGGAGGAGGCCGGTTGGGGGTTTAGGCTGGAACCACAGCCGGTGCATATATAAGTTCAACTTTAAAAGGTTAAAAACCTGCATTTAGTCAAAGAAATATACAAACATATTAAGTGTAGATTCAAGCATTGAAAACATGGTCTCATCACCGTTAAGAGTAGGTTAAATTTTCAATAATGACGCGATTTCTCGCTTTTCTTAGCCACGGTGCTCTGGTAAGCGATGTGGCCCATGGGCCTCTTGTTTAAGGCTATACCCTAGAATTGTTATGTAAAATCAATGAAAAGTAAATTTACTGTCATCACTGTCCACTTGTGAAGAAGCAAGGGCATAAGTTTATTATCATTGAAAAGGATTTTTCCAACATGTTATTATCATAAAGAAAAAAAATTCAAAATCAAGTTTGGAAATTATTTATTTTCAAATTGTTTTATTCTAGAGATAAAATTATAATTGCTGTGCAGCTGTATCAAAATCTCATTAAATCTAACTGCTTAAATGTAAATTAGTTAAGTTTTCTTACAATACGTTCTTTTTAGCCATCGTTTACACGAATCTGAGTACGCGTGCACTTGCATCATCAATTATGATCATGTGACCGCCATCCGGAAGTTAAAAAAATGGTTGAAGAGTCTGATCAAATCGACAAATGGAGTGATTAGGTCTAGTACATGTAATACGTAGACTGTAATTTCCTTTTTTAAAGATAATTTTGTATAAAAATTGTCATGAAGAATGGTTTAGTTTCAAGCACTGTAACTAGCCAGGTGTTTTACTGAAAAATATAGGCCTAATATGAAAGCAGATCAGCGGATGTAAAGAAACGGATAATGCCATTTATCGTGTTTATATACCTAAATAAGTAAAAACCATTCATCCTGAAAGCCTTTGTTGATCATTTAAAAGCCAGGGGTATCGTGTGCAGATACACGTGAGGGTTTATTGATCGTAGTCAACCGTAAGCTGTAAAATACCCGAATTACTCCTTGCATTGTGCACGGTGGAAGACGATTGGATTGTTTGGAAAGTGGGTGTTTCTAAACACTGTTATGTAACTTTAAAAAACGTGGCAATGGAACTGAGTTATGAAAATATACAAATTTGATTCCAGTGCTCTTAATTGTGGTCACATGCTAGGAAATCGATAATTAACAGAGTCGCCTACAGGTAGGAAGCAGAAGAAAGTGCTGAAGAAAATATACCTGTGGACTCGGTTCATAGTGACTATACAGGATGACTATGCATCAAGAGAAGCCCAGCACGAATGGGACCACCAATCATGCCAATGGCCACATACCTGCATCAAAGGAGGAGAAGAAACCCAACATACTGCAGAGGGCAGCTAATGGTATCATCTGGTTCTTTGAGACTGGGTTCGAAAAGTAAGAATTTTCATAAAATAACTTAATCTTTCCCAAATTTGCATGGAAGAAAATGTTGTCTTACTTAATTATCTCTCAAATAAGAATGTTGTTTTTATAGAAATGAATTTGATTTTATCCTATATTGACCCCTTTTTCCTGTGACACCTGTGGATATGACTAATGGATATTTTTGATATTGATTAAAAGAATCTGCCATGATTTGTTGGATATGATTTTTACAACTTGTTTGCAATGTTTTCCTTAAGAACCGGCTACCGGCCAAATTGACCGCTTGCCTTCAATTGACAAAAATGTTGCTTTGAAATAAAAATTTGTTGTTAGGTCCACAGAGATTTTGTTCATAAACCTCAGCCCCTAGCCTGTTACAACTTATCTCTAATCCTTTGAAATAAGGGGAAAACGCTGTGTTTGTTTTTATATCCCCTCGCCAAAGCTTGGGAATAAAAAAACACACAACTCATTGGATAAAAATCATATCAAAATGAAACTACAAATCTGACATGGGAGATTCTATATATATTTCATATGACAGAGTATTGTATCACATAGTAACTCTAGTAGACAAATATAATTTTTGCTGTTTTTGAGGTCAATGTGATGATTTGGCCGCTTGAGGAGTACAGTATGTACTGAGCCTGAAGGGCTAATTTATCGTTACAGTCAAAGGGCTAAATTATCATATTGACTACGAATACAGGAATAATTGTTTTATTTCATGATTCAGTGATTAAATGATGCAAATTAAGTCAGCATTCTATGCCATCTTACATGTCTGATGAAGTCCTAGCCATATATGCAATAAGAGAAGCAGAAATATTGAATATAAACATAAAAATTAGCCACCCCTTCCACACCCCACCCATCCCAGATGTATGAGCCTGAATGTCATGTTCACTTAAGTACAGCTCATTTGCAAGTGAAATAAATTTCCCAAAACAATTTGTATCAGTTTAGAATTTCCAAATCTATTTTTAGTCCAATGTTGAAAAAAATAAATCCTTATGTTCACCTGGAAGGTTAGCTGCAGAACTGTAGCTCTCTGCTTGAGAAAATTCGGACTGATAAAGCAGAGAGCTACAGATCCAAGCGTTGTAAAAACCTTCGATTTATGCCGACGATTTTTTGTCGCTGACTATTGGTATTTTTCGTGTATTTTATACTTTTTCAAGCTTAGAAAATAATTTGAAATGGTATTTGATTATTAATCATACATTCAACATCAATTCTTGATCATTTACTTACCACCCAACGCTAACAAATGGCTGTTTGTGGTTACGGAAGTCGAAATGGAACTCTTTTAAACTGATATTACAAAATTATAAACAGGACTGTTTTGGACCCATAAAAGGTAAACAAAGTATCAAATGTAAGAGTTAAATATATGAATTAGTATAGGATACCATTCTAAAAGCCAGAGAAAGCTTAAACTACACAAAATAAATACCTAAAGTAGCGACAAAAAATCATTGGCGTAAATGGAAGGTTTTTACAATGCTTGGATCTGTAGCTCTTTGCTTCATCTGTCCGTATTTTCTCAAGCAGAGAGCTACAGTTCTGCAGCTACTGGAAGGTCAATGAACTGAACATAACTTAGTCTTTTGTTCCCTACAATGCTGGATTCCAGGGCAAGAAAGCTAGGAATCATTCATGCAATCATTAAATAATGTTAATTTTAAAATCACTGTGTAAATATTTCTTATATTTTGACAGGATTGGTACATTTCTGGCGACACACCCTTGGAAGACACTTCTCATCACAGCAGCCATTGTTGGTCTTTTCTGTATAGGACTTATGAATTTTGGCGAAAATGAGGACAACAGTGTGATTTGGGTCCCATCCGATTCAGACCTTATGGACCACAAAAAATATGTAGAAAGCGTATACCCATCAACGACAAGATTTTTCTACTTAATACTTGTTGCCGACAATGTGATGGATCCTTCTACAATGACAAGTGTAAGTTTTGGTCTGTTAATGATTCTTAAGGTGCTTTAATTTGCAAAATTTAAGGTTTTAACAATTTGAAAACTAATGAAGTTTTTGGAGGAGCTTTATCACAGTCATTCAACATGATTTTTTTTGCAATTTTTGTTCAATTTGAAATTATACCAAGGTACTTTTTTCTTGTATTTCAATGTTTCAATGTCACGGTATTAATTAAGGTTATGATATTAGAGACCCCATCCAATCAAAAACAAATATGAAAATGCTTTTGTAATTAGTCAATTTTTGTCAGTTTATTGCTGTATAACTTTGGGTCAGGACAATAAATTAGACAAATTGGAAGAAAAGGGCAATTACTGGTAAGACATAAATTAAGCTAAATGGCTACAGAACGTGCTCTTCTATAAATCATCCTAGATGATATACATGTTATATATTGCTAAATTTAAAATTTTATTTTTTAGGTTTACAAAATCTATGATACCATAAGAAATGTTACCTCAGACTCAGGAAATGATTATTCATCAATATGTCTCAAGTAAGTTTCTAAAATGAAGACTGTAAATGATCTGATATGTAATTGGATGCATAGACTTATGTTGAACTTTCAATCAAATGTGAGTTGACAATCACAAATATTTTATTGATTATAATTTTACAAATTTAACATTTAGGCAGACTTTTTGCCCATTTTAAATTTGGCCAGTCACAATTCTGTTGACAAAATTATTCTACACATGTTCTTTGAATTTGCCTGTTTTAATTTCACCTACCTGTGAGTCAGGGGAAACAGGCAAAAATAAAACAGAGGCGAAAAGTACCCTTTATCAGACATTGTCGCCCGCTGAAAGCTGGGGATATTAATTACAGTCTGTCCATCTAGCTGTCCATCTGCTTGTAGTTCTGTTTGTCTGTAACACTTGTTTCCATATATCTCAAAAAGTCTTTAAGCTTTTGCAGTGAAATTTTCAGAACAACTCCCCATCCCATGGCCTAGGAAAGACTCCTATTTATTTTGAGACTCAAATGGTTAAAGATCAAGGTCTTTAATTCATATTTTTTATCTGTGTGTAAAACTTTCGTTTCTAGGTAAAATCTCAAGAAGCTCCAATTAACATTCAATACCATAACTTTTTATGGCCATGCCCACCCTTCTTAAAGTGCCCCCTTTGACTTTCCTCCCCCTTCTTCCTCCTGATCTGCACTTGCTCTTCTTTTCCAAAAGCTGGGGAAAAAAGATTCGCTGAATAAGCTAATGTTTGAATTAAATCATATTTTGTATCTTTGCATGGCCATGAGGTATCAACCTTTTTTGCTTTATCATTATGCTATTATTTATAGTCTGGTTGCCATGGTAAAATGTATCCATATGATATGCAGACACTCTCTTTATTATTATTTTTTTTTTAGGTCTAATGGAAATTGCCTGGTAACTAGCGTATTGGAGCTGTGGTCATACAGTAGTGCTACCATCAGTGGTCTTAATTCAGGAACGATTCGATCAGACGTAAACACTATAACGACCAGGTAAGACCTTGTGATTATCTCTGCTGTTTCAAAGGGAAAATAAGGATAGCTACCTGTAATATTATATGATTAAGACTTTAGTTTTGTATTTCTTTTCTGTAATGAATACATATTAATTCAAATAATTTTCGTGGAAGTGAAGTATTTTTACATTACATAAGTAAAGTTATGTCTAATTTGCATTACAGGTAGGTACCAATTTGAAAGTCTAGAATTACAAGTTTTAATCACTTGTTTACAAATTTCACATCACATAATAAGAATTTTTGGGATTGTCTTGTGGACTATGAAATTTTAAGCTTCCAAAGGCCTGCTATTGAAAAATATAATTTTACAATTTGAATGTATTATTTAGTTCAAGAAACATGGTTTATTTTTATATCAAGTGCTAGGGTATATTTTTGAATACCATATTTGTGTTTCACACCGACCCCTGAAGAAGTCAGACTGCAGTATATATATTAATAATTTTTTTTCTTCACTGTGTTGTAGTCCCATGTACTCATCCCCATGGGAAGCCACAAAGTATCTGGGAGGGAGAACAGTGTCTGGATCAACCATAACAGCTGCCAAGGCGGCCTACATCACCTATTATATTGATGCAGTGAGTATTCATGCCATGGCTTTTACAGTAGAGCACAGAACTGTCAGTCAGGAAGTTAATGTTTAAAGAACTAACATAGGAATGACTAGCAATGTTTTAAAGATTTATCAGGTCTACTAGAAAATTAGCTTTCATGATGTAGCCCTCTACAATTTTTAGTTCTACTGGTCAGAGATAAATGTCTAAAAAAAAATATCCCTTTAGTATGGCTAGTCTTTAAATGTTGATATTCTCTTTGTGCATGCATGATCAACAAAATGTACCTGCTTAGTATTTGTAGTGAGATTATAATGTTGATTTCCAGAATTGATTTGAAGAAAAGTTTAAGATGTATCAGAGATCAATAATTTTTTCTTGTTTTTTTCAGACAGATGATATTAATAAAACAGCTGCAGAAAAGTGGGAAGAGAAAGCTGTAGAAACAGCCAAAAATCTTCAGGAAGCAGGAATCCAGGTGTATTATTTTTCTTCTTTCAGGTATGAGCCAGGTTTCCAATCTAACACTTGAAAAAAATATTTCTTTCCTACATTAAAAAAAAAATATGTTATTAATAAGTCTTTCAAGACTTAATAAGTTATTCTCTGAAAATTTAACTAATTTAAAAATATCTTTACTTACTCGGATCTGGATGACTTTATTCTGTAGAGAATGCCAAATCTTTGGAAAAGCTTTCAGGCTCAATATATTCAATCAGACAGAGAAACTGACAAATTTGTTCAATAGACACCCCCCCCCCCCCCAAAAAAAAGAAAGAAATATAGACATATTTTTTTTAAAAATTGAGGCTTTTCTTTAAAAACATGGTATATTTCTTTAAAAAGAAAAGCTTGCACATGGATATACCGGTAAAACATGACTGATACATTTCAATATCTTTTACAGTCGGAGTGAAGAAGGAGGTGGAGCTATAAGAAAGGACGTGTCTCTGTTATCAGCTGGCTATGTCCTTGTGATTGTCTATCTGTTCATTGTCTTTGGGAGACTGAACTGTGTCGAACAAAGGGTATGTTATCAGTGAGGCTATTTTAGGACATACACAACATAGTTTTAACTCAATTGTATTTTCCCCAGAAGTTGAAGAGTTCTAATATTTAATAGAACTGTGTACTACATTCAACGTCTATAAGCTGTAAGTTGCACTTCTTCTAAAACAAGTATAGTTATAAACATGAAACTTGAAAAATTATCAGTAGATAAGGTATGTTGCATATGTTGTCAATTAAACATGTAGGTGAATTTAATACAGTCAAGCTTTGAGAAAAAAATCTGTTCTCATACTTAGTCATTTGTATTAAATGAAAATACATCTACCTCTCTGTTTCAGATTGGTCTATCCCTAGCCGGCATCATTGTGATCGGAATGTCTATAGGGTTTTCTTTTGGATTTTCCAGTGCTGCAGGCTGGAAATACGGACCACTTCACTCCATTTTACCCTTCTTACTTCTTGGTTAGATGGTTTGAAATTATAAAACTCATATACTGTATACAGGAAAATTTTCGCTCCCGTTTTATTTTCACCCCTTTCGCCCTCTTCTTGAGTGGGCGAATTTAAAACGGGGTGAATTCAAATTGCACAGCATAATTTCTTAAACAGAACTATGACTGGGCGAATTTAAAACGGGGCAAAATTGTTTGCAAGTGCAAAAGGGCTAAAATAATATTGGGCAAAAATAACCCTGTATACAGTAATCTTTCATTAATCGTCATCGTTATTCCAAAGTTTTTGTATATATGAACTTCAAATTCATTCAAATTAAATATCCTATAAATAGAATTTTTAGAAAGGATTTCAGAATATTAAACATAAGAAAGGACAATTCATGATGATTCTGTTTATATTAAAGTTTGAAATTACACTAAAGATGTGCATGTATTTGCAGACATAAAATTTACTGTAAGTATTTTGATTGACAGGTATAGGAGTAGATGATATGTTTGTCATTGTGGGCTCATACCAGAGTCTCAGTCACCATGAACTCGGCCTGCCCTTGCCCCAGAGGATGGGGAAGCTGTTACGACATGCTGGGGTGTCCATTCTCGTGACGTCAGTCACAGACATCCTGGCTTTTGGCATAGGTGCTACCACAGTGAGTGAAATTTTATTCTGTTTGATAAGTTTCTCTGAAAGTATACTGGTGATCACTATATTTTCGTGACACCTTAGTTTTGCTAGATAGCTAATTGGTATTGTAGACAATCCTTACTAATACAAATATATATACGAGAATGAAATTTTCATGAGCAAACATGCTCACTTAATTATGCAAAAAAAAGTTCTCATTAATAAAATGATTTACAGTACTAGTCTTAGAATTAATAAAGAATGCTGTGCTTCACATTTATTTTGCTTGACTTTCAGAAAAATTGAAACTGTTTGTAAAAGAAGACAAATTATTCGATATTGTTACTAAATTTGTTATATAATTTCTATTTCAATTTATAGAAGAAAATAATTAAAATGATATTTTTGTATTCTTTGATTTTTCAGACCTTGCCAGCTTTGAAATCCTTCTGTGTTTTTGCCTGTATTGGAATTCTGGGTCTGTTTGGACTGTCTACCACGTTTTTTCTGGCGGCGTTTACTCTGGATATCATGAGAACTGAGCAGGGCCGCAATGCATGTATCTGTTGTTACAAACACAAACCTGACTACAAGCCAAACAACTGTAGTCAAAGAAACCTGTTCAACATATTTCTACGCAAATACTACACACCTGTTGTTTTGAAGCTACCTGTTAAGGTATGTACTTGTATTTATTCTTGAAATTGAAAGTTGATCGTGTTTTAATTTAAGGGTTAGATAGCTTAATCTGCAAGCTCAAGTCATCTTTCTTCTTGTTTCCTTTTAAAACCAATTTTCATCTTATTTTCACATTTTCTTCCTATTTTTCACTTTTTTCACTTCTTCAAAAGAATACTGCTTCAATTCTAAGACAAGAAACAAAAAGTACTGTTGCCTGTAATTTGGATTCAAATCAGATAATTGGGATTCAAGTCAGAAATCAGCAAATTATACAAGACTTATGTTTAAATTTCCAGCATTGTCATGATGGTTACTGGTACCAAAATTTTTTTTCCTTTTAAAATCAAGGAAGGCAGATTGTTATTGCAATTTTACTGATAATATGCACCTACAGTACATGGAAACATATTTAATCTTAAGTCACACAGAACAGTCAATATATGATGTACATTGAGCCCCAGATGGAAGTATTAGAATTAGAAAGGTTGAACACAAATGCAAATTGGTACATTGTGCATTTTCTAGTATAATTAGGATAGGGATTCATCAGGTTATTAAAGGAATGTTTTTAAGCTTTCTGTGATTTATTGGTGTGTGAATCACACAGACTTGCACGTTGGCATATTTTTCATGAAGCGCTATATTTAACTTTTACATGTTTGGAAGCACCAAAAATATTCCCAATATGTGAATTTCTTGCTTCCCTAATGCCTTATATTGTTATACATGTACTTTTACTAACGTCGCTGTAGCTACATTGTGACATCACATTAACACACTTTACTTTGTGTTTATATCTACGCGTGAGTATACAGTGTACATGAAATTGGTATTCAAATCAATTTCACAGTTGGGTTAGTAAAAAAACCACAGCAAATGTAAATATTTATCATTAACACTCAAAACCATTGAAGAAATTGTTCTTCAAGTACCTCCTTCCCCTTTGCAAGGTTGCAGAATTTATCAAGAGTTCATATGACAAACGGTAGCCTTGTTTTACAGATTGTGGTTGTGGTGGTTTCAGTAGCACTATTAGGACTCAACATTTATGGGTTCTACAGCCTCAAACAAGACTACAATGAAAACTGGTTCTTTCCAAGTGATTCTTATGCTTACGAATTCAACGAGAAGAAGGAGGCCTATTTTCCAGGAGGGGGAGCCCGTGCCGCTGTCTACTGCAGTAAGTTGATTTAATATGTCATCATGATTTGCATTGTTGAAAATTGTTCCAGTGTTATGTTTAAAAATTGTATATTTTTACTCTGAACTAAGAGTTTTTTGAAGCAGGTTGAATTTACCAGGAAGATACATTGGACAATTTTATATAAAATCAGAGTAAAAAATTATTTTCTATGTAAAACTTTAACAACATATTGTGTCCCCACTGCATCTCCAAAGGTCCTGATTTGAACAAACTTGAATCTACACTATCTGAGGATGTTTCCACATAAATATATGACTTATCATGGCATTGCTTGTTCCTGAAAGGAAGATTTTTAAAGAAATTTGAAATATATTCCTATGTAAAACTTTGATGACCCATCGTGGCCTCACCTTACTCCTTGGGGTCATCATTTGAACAAATTTGAATTAAGCTTGCATATAAATTAAGATTGCATATAAGTTTCATCTAGATTCAAGTCTGATGGTGTTCAGTGCATGATGAATTCCTCCTGGATGATCAAATGCTGAAGAAAAAAGTCTGCATTGACCAATAGTATGGACACAAACTACAGTTACAATATTTAAAAGTACTGTATACAGGGTTATTTTTGCTCCATGTTATTTTCGCCTCTTTCACACTTGCGAACAAATTGGCCCAGTCTTAAATTGGCCCAGTCACAGTTTTGTCTAAGAAATTATATTGTATTCTTTGAATTCACCCCTTTAAATTTGCCCAATTGAGGTAAGGGCAACAGGGGCAAAAATTTCCTTATAAACAGTATTTATTTGTTAGCATATTTACTTGTTTTTAACTTTTTCTTTCAGAAAACATAGACTATTACGGTTCCAAAACAAAATTTGATAATCTGTACATGCAGCTGAACAGCAGTCAGTATTTAGCCACAGGTTCCTTGGACAGCTGGTTCCATTCCTACACAGCATGGCTAGGGACTAACCCAGGGGCTGCGGCAGGCAAACTGGATGCTAGTATGTATTCTGATTTGTATAATCTTGAATTAGTCAGTGTATCTAGAGCCAAGATACCAAGTATATGTATTTTATTTCAATCATTTATTAGCATGTACATTGAACTTGACCAATGCTTAATAACCCTTGCATCCAGGTCTGGTAAAATGACCCTTTCCAAATTGAAAATTTACACTTTTTTCCCAAATAAAATTCTTAAATGATAAGCAGATTGAATTTTTAAGTGGTTTTACTTAAAAGAAAAATAATGAATTTTTACATCAAGCCTTCAGTCTTATTCTCAATTTAACATTAAAACTTAATACAGGACATCAATTTTTGCCAAATTTTTGCCACCCTTTCAATTTTAAAATTTCTAATTGAAAGATTACAGAACCCTGTACCAAAAAAGCTCAATTTAGCCCTGCTAAATAAACAGTCAAGATGCAGCGTCAAAAATGCTTAACAATGATTACCAGTTTACCACAAAATAAGTACATATACAAGATAAGCAACAGCCTTGATATATGTAAACAAGTTTCTTAGTGGAATCGTTTGCGTATTTTAGATTTGTATCCAAATAGTGAGGCTAACTTTGTGGATTTGTTGTATACTTTTGTGACCACGGAGGCTTCAGGAATACGACATGCAAGGGAGGTGATGTTTAGCGGTAGCTCAGGAACACGGGACATTACTGTAAGTCTCTGTCAATTGACATTTAAGCACCTATAGTTAATCAGGAATTTAGTGCTTAATTAGGAGTTAGCTTTTTAGGTCACCTGAGTAAACTCAGGTGACCTATTGCTATCCGTTTTCGTCCGTCGTCGTACGTCGTTCGTAAACTTTTGAACATTTTTAACTTCTTCTCTGGAACTACTGAACCAATTTCAACCAAATTTGGTATACAGCATCCATGGGTGAAGAGGAACAAAAATTGTGAATTTCATGGTCCCTTCCCCCCTGGGGCCTGAGGGGTGGGGCAAAAACCGCTAAAATTAATGAAATCTTTAAAAATCTTCTTCTTTACTCCTGGACATCAAACAGTCAAACTCTTGACATGATTGTAATCAGCATTGAGTCCTCTACCAAAATTGTGAATTTCATGGCCCCTGGGTCAGGGGTTCTGGTGTTAGGGCGGGGCTATATAGATCATATAGTAAAAGAGCATTATTTCTTTGAAAATCTTCTTCTCTGCTCCTGGGTATTAAATTAACTAAATAAGAACATAGTTATGATGACCAAGAGTGCCTCTTAAAAATTTGTGAATTTCATGGCCCCTGGGTCAGGGGTTCTGGTGTTAGAGCAGGGCTATATAGATCATATAGTAAAAGTGCATTATTTCTTTGAAAATCTTCTTCTCTGCTCCTGAGTATTAAATTAACTAACTAAGAAAATAGTTATGATGAGCAAGAGTGCCTCTTCAAAAATTTTTGAATTTTATGGCCCCTGGGTCAGGGGTTCTGGTGTTAGGGCGGGGCTATATAGATCATATAGTAAAAGTGCATTATTAGTCCCCTACCGGTGAAACCGGGGGGACTATAGGTTTCCTCTGCGTCCGTCCGTCCGTCCGTCCGTCTGTCTGTCTGTCTGTCCGTCTGTCTGTCTGTCCCCGTCAGTCTGTCCCACTTGGTTTTCCAAACTTTTTTTCTAAACGCTTGCAGATATTAAGCTGAATTTTGGTATGTGAGTGTATCTTAATGAGTTACAGATCAAGTTTGAATTTCGCTTTGCTACATTCATTTTTGACAGAATTATGGCATTTTGAATATTTTTCATAATCGTTTAATTAAGATCGGGTTCGAACTGCGCTAACTTCCGATGGTCGATATAAATATAAAGCGAGGAAAAGACGGGGGAAAAATGAGTTGAATTTTCGTCTTAATGGGGATTATTTTTTTAGTTTTAAGGCATTTACAACTTAAAAATCTTGCAGTTTTACCTTGGACATGACTTTAGCATATTATAAAATGACATCCTGAAGAAAAAGGGGAACCCGGTAGGGGACATGTATTGCTTAAGCAATACTCTCAGAATGCTTGTTTCTTTGAAAATCTTCTTCTCTGCTCCTGGGTACTAAATAAACTAACTAAGAACATAGTTATGATGAGCAAGAGTGCCTCTTCAAAAATTGTGAATTTCATGGTCCTTGGGTCAGGGGTTCTGGTGTTAGGGTGGGGCTCTATTGAAACATTAATTCTTTGAAAATCTTCTCTGCTCCTCGGTATTAAACAAGCTAACTAAGTACATAGTTATGATTAACAAGAATGCATCCTCCAAAATTGTGAATTTTATGGCCCCAGGGTCAGGGGTTCTGGTGTTAAGGTGGGCTCTATTGATTATGTAGTGAAAATGCAGTAATTCATCAAAAATCTTCTTCTCTGCTCCTGGGGATTAAGCCAATAAACTATGTACATAGTTATGATGTGGAAGGGTGCCTCTTCCAAATTTGTGAATTTCTTGGCCCCTGGTCAAGGGTTTTGGTGTAAGGAGGGAACTCTTTTTATTATATAATGAAAATGCATGAGTTCTTTAAAAATTTTCTTCTTTGCTCCTGGGTATTAAACAACTAAGTAAGTATACAGTTATGATGAGCAAGAGTGTTTCTTCAAAAATTGTGAATTGTGAACTGTGGGGTGGGGTGCATGACTGGTTATAAAGTGAAAATGCATTTTCTCTTTCTTACTCTGATCTAACTCTGGGTATTAAGTAACTAGAGTAAGCATTCTAAGTGCCTAATTATGATAAGCAATGGAGCTTCTTTCAAAATTGTGAATTTCATGACATCTGATTTAAAACACAAACCAAATTTCAATTTTTTGGAAAGTTGTTTCATGATACTCAGGTGACCTATAAGGCCTATGGGCCTCTTGTTGTCAAACAAGTTCTGAATGGTTTTGAAATCTATCAACCAGAGATGATTTGAACATATTTTATTGTACTAAATATAAACAATGGGATTGGGCACAAGTTCTAAAAACTTAAATCGCTCTCTCCCTAAACCAGAGATAGTATTTGGAATTAACAAATTTTGTAAACTGTATACAGGGTTATTTTTGCCCTGTGTTATTTTTTACCCTTTTACACTTGCTAACAATTTTGCCTTGTTTTAAATTCACCCAGTCTTAGTTTTGTTTCAGAAATTATACTGAGTTATTAGAATTTGACCTGTTTTAAAATCCCCCACTTGTGACAGGCATGAAAGGAGTTAAAATAAAATGGAGGCAAAATTTTTACAGTATACATTGTATACAGTATTAAATTCTCAAACTAAAAAAATAAAAGTAATGAAAAACTGGATGACATCCTGTAAAAGTAATTCCTATTTAATCCCCCCATCTCATTTACAGACAACTTACATATCATACCAGCACCTGACTTATAGCACTGCTGCAGATGAAATTGTGGCCATGGAGGCTATAGAGTCCATGGTCAGTAAGATTTTCTCCGAGTCGGAATGCTTCCCATATGGCAGACTTTATCTTCAGTGGTATACAAACAAAGTAAGACTTAGCATTTGTGTTTCACTCTCTAGAATAGTAAATATCAAAAATTATTTAATTTAGTTCTACATTATTTCTGGACCTGTATTTCAAAATTCAATTTGTTTTAGCATTATTTGTCAGTTAAATTTGAACTAGAAATATTTATTCCAAGAATTTTACTTTTAATTATTAATTGATGAATTTTAATTAGGTGATAAAAAGTGAGCTGTTCAGGAACTTGGGCTTGGCTGCAGCCTGTGTGTTTGTGGTCACTCTGATCCTTATAGCCAATATTTGGACCAGTATTCTTGTCTTCTCTTGTGTCATCATGACCCTGGTAAGTAGAAAGTATATCATAATACCTTAATAATGTTACCGTTTATTGGTTTGTATACCTGTTCATGTTCAGTGCTTGTAAGACACAAGAACAAAGCTACTCTTTTTTCTGTAGCGATACAGAAAAATTTGCAGCTTTATGTCTGAGAATTTACAAGGTTGTGAAGAGAGTTATCAGTTTTTGTAAGAAAAAACTTATTATAAGCATCCTTTCATTTTACGATTGTAGGTGGATGTAGCTGGTATCATGCACTTCTGGGGTCTGTCTATCAACATTGTGTCCTGTATCAACCTTGTCATTGCTATTGGTCTGGCTGTAGATTACTCTGCTCACATCGGTCACTGCTTTATGACATTTGTCGGAGACAGAAATGGTAAGAAAACAATAATATCCCTGCTCCACTTTCACATCTGTTCAAGTAATTATAGCTTTGCAAGTCATTTACTTATCAAATCTGTATGTCATGAAAATTTTAGCTCATCCGTCATCTGTCTAGTTGTCCATCTTTCTGTAAACTTTTCATATTTTCAACTTCTGCTGAAGAATCATTGTTTCAATTTTAACCAAAGTTGCTACAAAACATCCTTGAGTGAAGGGCTGTTTAAGGTATCTGATCCATTAAAGGACGTAATTTTCTAACCTTGAATATCCATCTTGTGTTAAATACTCTGAAACTAATTCAAAGCAGTTGAGAGTAGAAAAGGATAAACCAGGAGAATAATTACCCAAGCTGTAAATACAATACCGTGACTTCAAAAATTTTAATGAAACAAACTTTTTGCATGATTTAAACAATGCAAATTTTGATGAATTAATTCTACTGCATGATCCCAATGACATTTTAAACGGTTTTTATGATATTTTCAATGCTATAATCAATAAGCATGCAAAAGTAAAAACAAAGCGTGTGAAATCAGAATTCCGCACTAAATGGTTAACTCCAGAAATAAATAATGCTAGGAATTTTCGAGATCAATTTCATAAACAGGGAGACATGGATAATTTTAGACTTTGGAGGAACAAAGTCACATCTCTAATAAATAATGCAAAATCTACATATTATAAGGAAGTAATTGAAAATAGTTCTACTTCAAAGGAAATGTGGGGCCACTTAAATCAGTTAGCCTCAAAATCAGACAAAAACTCGTCTCCTTCCAATATAACATATAACGGTTTAGATCTTGATAATCTACAAGATATTGCAAATGCATTTAATGAGCATTTTGCCCAAATTCCAAAAAAATTAATAGATAATCTTTCGTTTACTGCTTTTAAATCAGAAAAATTGAAAAGATACACGGAGACAAAACTTGGAGATCAAGACTTTTTTGAAATCCCTTTGATTAATGAAGAAAAGGTATTCGAAATGTTAAAAAGACTTGATGTAAACAAATCTGCTGGTATAGACTTTGTTGGACCTAGATTGCTTAAACTGTCAGCTAGTATAATATCCAAACCTCTAACACACTTGATAAATTCTAGCATAATCAATGGATCTTTTCCTTCACAATTAAAGGTCGCAAAAGTAACCCCCTTGTTTAAAAAGGGCGATAAATCAGACCCAGGAAACTATCGTCCAATCTCGATTTTACCAACGATATCGAAAGTTTTAGAGAAGCATGTAGCAGAAAATATACGCATCTTTACTTCTCACTTTGACTTGCTAATGAAAGCACAATCTGGATTTCGAGAACTTCACTCATGCCAGACAGCTCTCACAAAACTAACTGATGATTGGTTGCATGCAATAGATAAAGGAAATTTTGTAGGTATTACATATCTGGATTTTAGCAAAGCATTTGATCTTGTTAATCATGATATACTAATTAAAAAACTTGAATGCTATCACTTTGATCCAATATCAATTAAATGGTTTAAATCATACTTATATAATCGAACTCAAAGTGTTAAAATTGGTGCGTACACATCTGAATCACTGCCAGTCACAGCAGGTGTGCCTCAGGGCTCTATTTTAGGTCCTTTGTTATTTCTATTGTATATTAATGATTTACCATTGTCTGTTGAACATTGTAATATTGATATGTTTGCTGATGACACTACAATGCATCTTCATGATAATAGTATTTCGCGTATTGAAACCACTCTTAATCATGAACTCTGTCAAATACAAAAATGGTGTCAACAAAATCAGATGATTATAAATACTGATAAAACAAAGTGTATGTTAATGGGAACACACCAAAAGAAATCTAAATTAGAAAACGTTAATTTTCATTTACAACTTTCCGATCATCCCCTTGAAAATGTAGAAATGCAAAAATTATTAGGTGTTCACATTGATCATAATCTTCAATATACTTGTCATGTAGATGCAGTTTGCAAAACTCTTACATATAAATTATTTACTTTACGAAAAATCAAAAAGTTTCTTCCAATGCGTACTAGAAAACTATTTTATAATGCTTTTATCCTGCCATCGATTTTGTATTGTCTATCCATTTGGGGCAATTGTCCTCAAACACACATGGACAGAATCTACAGATTACAAAAAAAAGCAGCTAGGATTATTTTAAATGAAAAATATGATACACCTTCAATGCCTTTATTTAACACTTTAGGTTGGCTAACAGTTTATGAACTTTTATATTTACAGAAAAGCATTTTAATGTACAAAATATTTCATGGACTGTCTCCTGATTATATGCATAATCTTTTTGAATTTCAAAGTTCTGGATCATACACTTTACGCTCAGAAACAAATTCCGAACTTCGACTACCAAAATATAAAACAAACTTATTTAAAAATTCTTTACAATATTCAGGGGTTATTATCTGGAATGAGTTACCAATTAATATAAGAAATTCTCAATCCCCTGCAATATTTAAAAGAAGTGTTGAAAATTTTCTACTTATAAAACGCAATGATTCTGTGTGATTTTTTTTTTCTTTCTCTCTATACTGAAATGCTGATGTTTTTATTTGTTTGTAACATACTGATTGATTTTTTATTGTCTCATAATTGTAATTTTATTTATTGTATATATGCATTGTATATGTGTTTTTAAAGAAGGCCCCGAGGAAGACTAGTGTTCGCACTAATCGGGTTACCTTCTCTAAATAAAGTATTATTATTATTATTATTAATTAATTAAGAATGCATTGAGGTTTCTATGGGAACAAGATCATTTTTTAAAATAGAAATTTAAATACTATGAATACAAAAAAATGCTTTGGTGGAAATATGCATATAATTATTAAGAATAGAAAACAATTAAAAAATAATTTTTCACTGGATAGATTAATAAAATAATTAGTTTTATTGATTTAAAGCAAAGGGGGATAACTCTTTAAGGGCGGCTCAAGGTTAAAGATTAGGACACATTCCGCTCTTACATATTGAGACTAAAACATTAATATTATATCTCCATATACTGAGTATTCTGTTATGCATTCAAATTCATTGAATCTGAGGCTATTATGGATACCTTAATTAAGTTGTTGAAATGAAGGACTAAGCACCCCTTCCAAGGGGAGATTATCAAGAAAAGACAAAAACAGGGTGAGGTCTTAAAAAAAATTTCTTAACCACCACTGGGCAGAAATGGTCAAATTTTATGTGGGAGCTTCCAGAGATAATGTAGACTCTAAATTTTTCAAATCTTGGCCACAATAGGGAATCAAAGTTTACGTTGATTTTTAAAAATCCTGTTCTCAAAAAATGCTGTGCTAGAAAAGTCGAAAGTAATGTGAAATCTGTAAAAAGTTGCTAATTAAGATTATGAAATGATTGAATCAATCCATTGTCCCTTGGGCTAGGGTGGTGCCACAATAGGGAATCAAAATATTACAAGGGAAAAAACTGATGAACAGTAGAGCAAGAGTAACTTGTGTGAGCATTGTGGCCCATGGGCCTCTTGTTATAAATAAGATTCATCTGACATTTTATTAATTTTTATTTGCACAGTTAATAAATTCTTTCAATATATGTTAGTTGTCACGTGATAATGAATAAAATGTGTTTAATCAAACAAAATACTTGTTATTAACCTCTGCAGAGCGTGTGAGGGCAACATTGGTAGAGATGGGAAACCCAGTCTTCAGTGGAGGTTTCAGCACGTTTCTAGCCTTCATTCTTCTAGCAGCCAGTAAAAGCTACGTGTTCACCACATTTTTTAAGGTAGACAGTCTTCAATTTTCAGTTTCTAATTTAAGCATTCACAAGTAAGAAATATTAGAGTAATATTTATCTCACCTTTGTGTTATTTTTGGAATGAGATTAATTGATCATTGCTACTTTGCTAGACTCAATCTGATACACCCAAGGAGATATTAGACAAATGAAAAAATAATTTAGATCATATTAAACACTTTTTTAAATATTATCTCTTGAATATCCAAATTATTCGATAACATAAAATTATTAGAAGACTTTGACCCGATTTATTTTCAGCGAGTTGTTATAAACATAGAGGAGTGGTTTTTGAAATTAAGTATTTCAAGGAGATTATTTTCACTGAATCAATTTTTTCTTAAATGTATCATGGTAATTTACCAATGTTCAAGTTCTGGGCAGATGGTAATTGTGAAATGACATGCCTTATAATGACAAAAAGTTCTTTCCTCAATCAATGTCAGACTTATGGTAACTCATTCAAGTTAGGGAAACTTATTCTTCCTCTACACTTACAATATTCTTCAAACTTTTTGTACATGTAAATTATTCCTGCACAAAAACAATATTTATAGAGCAAAACAGAAAATATTAGAAGCATGTTTTTCCATTGTAACCTAATGAATCATCTTTGACATGGGTACATTGACATGGGACTTTATATAACCACATATCAACTTAGGTTAAAGTCCTGACTCTATAATTGTATAATATGTAGCTGGAGTACAGTCACACCTTATTATCTCAAACTGGATGAGACTGGGAACAAACGTTGAGATATCCAGAAATTTGAGATATTGAGGGTAATAAACTACCGTACTTTGAAAATAAGTGACTTGGGACTTCCAAATCACTTCGATCTATCTATAGTATTCAAAATATCAATGTTTGAGATTCTGACGTTTAACTGTATCAAAAGAAATGAAGCAATTATAAACTGGTTTTTATAAAAAAAAAAAAAAATTTGGCAGATATTTTTCCTGGTGGTGATATTTGGCCTCTTTCATGGACTCGTATATCTGCCAGTATTATTGTCGTGGATTGGACCCTCGGCGTACACCAGCGCTGACAGGCGTTATAAAGGCGACGACCCGGAATCTGGAGAGGAAAATAAAGATTCCAAATTACAAGGCCACGATAACCTTGCCATGAAAACTACAGTAAGTCTCAAACATTATAGATGTCTTAGTGCCTAGAAAATATATAAATATGTTTATATTGTAAAAAATTGTGATAGAAGATAGAAGTGATCTAATTTAGCTCATGTAGACAATCACCAAACAATAGGTTAACTGTATTCATTTAATATTGTAGTTAAATTCATACTCGCTAATTGATCAATATTGGCATAAAGTAGATGAGAAATCGTATATCTTTTATGAAAAATTGATCTTGTTGAATATAAAATATGTGCTTAAGCAAGCTTTTTGAGATTTTACAACTGGCTTTCATTTTCCTTTATTTACATAGTACAAAACTGGTAAAATAATTAAGTAATTAATGTTGTCTTTTGATTTTTTGCCACTACATGCATGTTGTTTTGGAATTTGTTCATGGAACAATTAATTAATTATTAGAATCAGGTTTTTCATTCTTCGGTTATTTATTTTTTTAATCTGTCTTTCCGTAATTTATGTGATGCATGTATTGAATGATTTTTTCTGACCAATATCTGCCACAAAAGAAAAGTCTAATTATGTTCTAAACTAAGTCAATATCTGCAGACATCAAAGCATTTGTCTATTTTAATCTTTCTTATAACCCATAGACTTGGTAATCATTACATACATGGAAATTAACAAGTTCTTCTAAATTTTGATGCCATTTGCTTAAAGTTCAAAGTTAGAAGATCAAGATTTTTTTAATAACCACATGGGAAGGCTTTTCTTAATTTTTGACATTTTCAAGTTCGTATCTTTGTTTGTTAACATGTACTGAATATTAATTTTCTTGTTGTGAACTTTTCTTTTCATCAAGCATGATGGTATGGGTATTTGTACACTGTTATATTGTAATGAGCCAAAAATATAAAGAGAAAATTTATGAATTTTGAATTTTATAAAGAGAAAGCTATTTGTGCAGCTTCAAATGTATTTTCACAGGCGGGCAAGAGGTTTAATAAACTGTGCAGCTTACCAGCTAGGTTCAGCTTCTAGATATACTCTTTATAATTGCTTCTTTTAAATGATGGGATTTAATTAGAAGTATAAAATTTATGATTATATGAAAACTTCATTAACAATTTATCTCATCTGTATATTAAATTGTGTACCATTGACTAACATCATTTTAATGAAAGATCAGCTTTTTCTGATCAAGAAGAAAATAAAACAATGTACTGTTGTTTTATTTACTTCTTGATCAGAAAAAAAATATATACTGTAAAAAAAAAAAGACAACCAAAAAAAAACAATGTACTGTAATTAATCATGTGGATGTACAGTGAAGCCTTATTAATCTGAGCATAATAACCTAGATGTTTCATCCGCTGGATGAAATTTGTAGGGAACCATTTATATTTAGATATACCAAGTATGTTTCTATAATGAGGATGCTTCATAAATCGGGAAGATTTTCTAAGGAACTCCAATGTCCAGATTAATGAGGCACAACTTTATTACAGTCATGATAAAAAGGAATTTTAGTCAAGAAAAGGAATATAAAAAATTTAGTCATAAGTCCTTTAATGCATTTCTCAACTTTTCCCTCACAAGATGCACTTAGAAAAAATCAATGTGTACGTTAATGTGTAAACAAATTTAGAACTCATATTTTCTGTTGACAGTTTGATCTTTCAGTTCCTAGTGCCTTCATTATTAGTTTTCAATATCCTTGTGCAAGAACTTCCCCAGTCAAAAACTTGTCTGATTAGTTGATTTGTGTGTTCATCACTACAGTGAAAACTTGCTTATAGTGAATTAGTTGTTGAGGGATTATGTGCTATAGGGGGATGGCTTAAAGATTTTAAATTGTTTTTTAAACAAATATTTATTTCACTTTAACCTGGTTCATTATTGGTTTACCAAGAAGCTTGTAAAATGAGTCGAGATTCTCAGTCCAAAAGTTCTTGTTATGTTTTAACACTTGATCTTACCTGGTTAATCCTTATATATGTATAAGTCGGAATTAAGTCCTTCAAAATAATTATTAAAAAAAAAACAACAAAAAACTGCAGTAATCTACAGGAACAGATCAGATGTGATACTATTTAGTTTAAATTAAAGTAACTGAAATTTTTTAGAAAATGTTTTACAAAGTGTGTTTGGTATTGCTAATCTTACCCTGTTTTTGTAGTATTGCTAATCTTCCCCTGTTTTTGTTTTCAGATAAGTAATGGCTACGTATCAGAACCTCCTCCGGATTACCAGCAGACAGACTTACCGTACATCCCTCCCCCAGACTACACCCCTCCCTCAAAGCCCCGGGGACAGGCCAACGGAAGAACCCCCCAGGCAAACGGCAGGATAACCCCTATCAGTACGTAACGGAATCTTGCCAATTCTGCTACATCTGTGATATAATTTTTTTGTTAACAACTGTCGTTAATTCAGAGATTACTACAATGTGCCAGTGAGTTTGCCTGCATTTTAAAGAGATTATTTTATGCCATTTTGTTGTACGTGTTTGTATATTGTTTTTGTAAGGTATGTTGATTTGTCTTATATCTCAGTCCCAATTGTAACGCTACAAATATGTCTGTCCATCATGTTTTGTTGTCTCCCTTGTAAATCATTTTTTATAAAGTGAATCTCTGGTTGTAGACAATCGAATCCAAGTTTTCTACATGATCTGGGGTCATGACACTTTTAGTTTAATTATGTTTTATATATCTAAAGGCTTGTTTGTTAGTACTTGTTTATTGAATGAAAACCGGTATGGGATGCATATGTTTTTAACTTATGTTATTTGCATTTGTTTTTTTATAAATTTAATAATATCCACTTTTGCTAGTGCCAGGATATGCCAAACAGAAAATGTTATGTTGGATTAATTGGTTAATAAGAAGTTTATTAATTTATAAATAATGAGATATTGAACTTGTAAACATATAATGCTGATGTAGATGTTAGGGATACAGATTGATGATTTCATTGCTGTAGTACAGTAAAAACACACTTATAACAAAGTGCCAGGGAATGGCGATTTTGCCTCTTGATAAGCATAATTCGTAATATCTGTGAAGTTGATAATATAATTATATTTTAATGTCATCACTGGCACTGGTCACAGTGATTGAAAAGTACTTCGTTGTAACTTGTAAGCGTCTGTTGATTATAATCGTGTTCCCTATAACCATGCTTTACTGTACATTTTGAAATTAAGCATTTCTTGGAAAAACCTTCCAAAATATAACAAGGAAATACACTGTAGTATTAAAAATTGGTTAAGTGCCTGTAGAAGATCAAGATTTTTTTGTGTTTGATTATCTTTTTTTTTTTTTTTTTTTTTGGAAAGATTTTCATATCAGTATTTTGTGCCATAGTGCTTGTAGCAATCCAGTATCTGCAACAGCTTTTTTTTGAAGAATCTCATAGACTGGTTTTATTTGTTAGGGCCCTGCTCTGCCTCAGTATATCAGCTGATGTTTCCTGCCTAAAGTAAATTTTCTCTCCATTTGACTGTGTATTCTGTAAGTTCCTTGTCTAGTAGTATTTCATTTGTCCCTTCGGACAAGTTTGGCGAAACACTTCACCCATAGATACCTTATATGAGGAGAAAGCACTGTCTGAACCAACTCAAATGCAAATTTTTAAAAAAGATTTTGTAAGCACACTATAAAAAAAGCTCTCCCTAATTATACAGGCCATTCCATTTCCCCATTTACCCTTTTGTCCTCTTTATTTATTATATCCAGGAACCTTTTGAGATAATTCCCAATTCAATGACCTGTACAATGTATTTATTAGAGACACACTGTGGTGAAGCTCATATTAATAATTTATTTATTGTCATTATTCAGTTATGTATCTGTCAGTATGTGTGTTTGATGTATTATTATGACATATCAGTGTACTGAAATTCTACTTTAAAATATCTCAGGATTTTGTAGATAGGTGTTGTCTCAGAAGAAATATACATTCAAAGAAATATACATTCCAGCTGGAGATGCACAACACATGAGATGTATAAGCATTGTTGACTAACATTATTAAACATTGTCTTTCATAACATATTGTAGAATGTATATGCTTGTGCTTAGCTTTTGGTCTGGAATGTAATTTTCATTTCCTGTAAGAAGAAATATGAATATTTTTGGGTTTAATTTATTGTAATCAAAATTTTATGAATGAATGAATATGTATGTATAATCTTGATAATGTGAAGTTATTTCCTATCTGCCACAGTTTTGTGTAGTAATTTATAAATCATAAATACCATAGATTACCAATTCAACATAGGCAGAGAGGTTAGCATTTTATCCAGTCACATTTTAATATTTACATTTGTTTTAATGGAATAAAAAATGTTTTCAATCGAAATATGTTTTGATGAATTGTGACATAGCTTCTTTTAAACAAGATGAAGCTGAGAATTTAAGAATAATAATAATATTAGTAAAATAAAAAAAAATATTTTTTCATAAAAATAATCCAAAAACTCTACGTGAGAAGAAAACGCTTCCCAACTCGGCACCTTTTCCAGAAACCGGTGATTGTTCCATGCTTGTATCGCGAATCCGGTTAGGACATTGATACGATACCATGTTTATGATTACTATTATCATCAGTTTTATTCTTAAACTATGAATAAAATGTGAGCAGTTTAGAGTTACCATTAATGGAATGATACAAGGATACGTAAAACATATTAGAGTTATCTCGCTTCCCATTTGTCCTCGACTCTAGCTGAAGAGCTATTACATTAATCTGTTTATCGGAACTGTTACAACCATCTATCATGAAGAATGTCATTATTTATAGCATCTTCGGTTTTCTTGGAGAAAGCAATTTCGATAAAAGTCATTTTGAAGATGTACGGCTATGCTGGTGACAGATTTTATAGAACGAGTAGCGGCATTTAATGATACTCTGTGTATTGATGGCTGTCTCGCTGATAAATCTTTCTGGCGGTTGTAATGGTACATTTCCAATCGATGGCTATACTCTATTATTTTGTCTGGTCATCAAGGACTAAAGGCCTCGTCACGCATCTATTATTCAAGAAGTCAAATAGAGAATTATAAAGGATTCGCATATGAATCTAACGTATTTAACTAAATCTCCATGGCTAAGAACGAATATAGGTCTAGATGATCTAAATAGATCTAAATCTGCAGATTCTCTGAACCGACAACTTGGTGGCGTCCTAATCTGGATGGCATCACAGGGACATTAAATGCCGAGAAAACGCTTTCACCAACAACTAGTGGCACAGTCTTCCGCCAACAAATTGGTGTAAGTACCGAGCATTGGTCCAAATCTGCATTCCTCCACAAAGTAGAGGCGTCTAGCTACTAGTATTCTAAATGGTCCTAAATCTGCAGACATTAATTTTGCTGAAAACTTGGTGGCGTCCTTATTCTAATGAATGTATGGCGTCCAATTCTGAATCATAATGACCCCAACAAAATGGTGGTATTTTTATCTGAATGGTCGCTAGTACCGAGTTTTTTAGGCTACAAGAGACAACTCGGTGGTAGCTGCAGATCTGTAGCGTATATTGATAGACCGGTCTATCAATATATTTTTTTTTCGGAGAGCTTCAGATCTGCAGCTAACTCTGTGGAGTCCTTTTCTTTTGTGTTTCAAATGCTGAACCGCAATTTTCCACCAAGCGACGCCCTAATCTACATGGACCTGATTGTCGAGTATGAATTTAAATTTGCAGTCCTCTACCAAAATTGGTGGCTCCCTGATTGCAATGGCCCTTACTACTTAGTATGTTTTCATCTCCAGAGAAAGTATTTTAAGCAATTTTAAAAACAGTAACCCCCTTCCCCCTTTCGACTATGGACAACAGTATCTAGTGAAAAATAATTCCTTACAAAGATATGTATATCGTAAATGCAGATAACCCCAGACATCAAATATTCTTTTTCTCAGATACTCAAAGAGAGGAATATTTTGTTTGGGGCATCGTTTGACAACTTTTTCTCGATTGGTAAAAAGCTGAAAAAGAAATCATTCCTAATTTCTTCTGTTTGGACTATTCTATGAAGAACAGTTTAGCGACTCAGTCTCAGAAACCCAAAGTACTGCAGCTGTCCGCTCTTTTAAAATTTGACTCTGAACCTGTTCATGAAAATTTAATAATATATTTGGCATTCGTTGCACGTGCTTCTGTTTCTGTCAGTCAATTTCGGTCGTCTGCCACCGATTCCTGACCCCGAGAATTCACGTGCTGAAATTGATTTTTACGATTTTCAGGTGTTTGTTAGGAAATCTTATTGTATCAAACGATTCTGATTTTACAAATCTCCAATCTCTCCTAAATTTGAGTGACGGATAATTTACAGAGCGACACGAAAACCGACATTGAGGCTGACAACTACTATCTTTTGTTTCTCCCATGTTTGCTCCATGCGCCATGTGCCACATGGCGTGCGGGTTCCGTATTCCCAAACCGTAGTACTTATTGGTTATTTTCACAAATTAATGATACTTCAATGATGAGATATCAATTATGGATATAGCTTTGGATAAAATGGAAAATGTTCGTTAGTCACCAACGAAAATATCAATATAAGCCAACATCTGCAGTTCTTTCACCTGTATTGCGATGAATAGTTTTCATTGATTTGAAAAGTTCAAAGACAATAGATGGATCGAAGCCATCTGTCTATAACCCCCTTTTTTCTTTTCCGGAAATTGCCTCGGATTGAAGTTACTCAGATCTTGGACATTTGTTTGCGTGTTAATGAAATGTTCATTAATGAAAAAAATTGTTTAAATTGTCCTCTTTTTGGGGGATGGGGGCGGACATACAGTACGGTACTATGACAATAAACTGCATGTCGCATAAATTATTTCCTCCAAAATTAAAATGGACTGTGAATTGAAGGGTATTTCTTAGTCTTCCTTTTGAATCAGGGGAAGGCAATGGCTATCACCTGGCAACGAAGATCAGTGACGATTCTCGTACATATTGTCTTCCTATATCGCGGGTGATAATATACTTATGTGTCTACACTCACTGTGCATATTGTCGTTTATCGATGCTGACACGAGCGATTGGCATGAAACAAGTTCAGCCAAAATACGTTCAAATGTGGTTATATCTGCTAATAAGGTCATTAAAATATACTGGCTCTGAACTAGGTTGTTGAAATCCCTGCAACATCAACTTCTGTGAGAGTAGCCTGCTTCTGTTTGAGATTTCATGAAATTAATAATTTCAATACATCAGTTTCTTTATTGCTATCGTAACCCTAAGAGTGTAGCGAAAATGTGTGCAGTGAGTGTCAGTTCAAAATGATGGACTGTTTAATATGAGTTGCATATTGTCGCAGAAGGCAGCACCGCCACAATGTACTGTTTTATCGTTGTGAGTACTTAAAATACTCATGAAGATGCTCCAGTTGCTTTTAAAGTAATGTCCTTGATTGGGTTTTATTGGTTCCGAACCCCATTTTCAAAGATATGTACAAATCGTTCAACATAAATCTAGTCTACAAATATGTAAAGCAGGGTCGGGTAGATCGAAAACAAAATTCTCAGAAAACCTGTGTGTTTATAAGATTCAATGTCTTTGCTTGATGGATAAAAGTATGCATAAAAGGCTTCTATATGGCTGTCCATTACGCCTTTATGATATACCTTTCTAGACTTTTTCAGATAGAAATTTATGAGACCATTGATTCTCGTCGATATTTACTTTCAAGTGACATCTTCCTTATTTGCGCTGCAAATAGGCCAATGCTAAAAGTGAACAACTGAAGGAAGGAAATTTAGGCTAACAAGTGTGGAAACATCACGCCTTCTAACAACATCGATGTACTTCAAGAGACAAATAATCAGTGTCTGGCCGATATAGATACATGTACTCTATAATCACCTGCCTCACCTGTTATACATACATTGTAGAGAGAGAGAGAGAGAAGGAGAGAATGAGAGAGAGGTTTGCTAAAGAGGGGGGGGGTATTAGGCTAAAAATCAGATCATGGTAGTCACAAACCCAATAATATTTCTAGGGAGGGTGGGGCTAAGATTGGGTAAACTTATTTCAAACAAATATTTTTAAAAAGATGTATGCATAATTGATCAATTCTCATCGGTTGTTAACAGATGCAAAAGATGTTTGCCCCCACACGTGCATGAAATCACACTTCTGTCTTTCATATGACTTGTTTTTCCTTGATGTCCTTCCGTTCATTCATTTAACTGACGCACAACGTAAATTTTATATAACTTTTTAACAGTTATCACAAATTGCTTCATCTAATTTTGCTTACGGATGTTTCATAATAAATCCCACATTTGTCATGTTGCTATTTTTACTATTATGAATGATAAATATCGAGGTAAAAACTGTTTATATTTGTTTTTTGTTGTTTTTGCATCTATATTTACAATTTATATAATGACGTAATCCTGTAAAAAGGAACAAAGGATGCGTCTCTCTCTCTCTCTCTCTCTCTCTCCTTAGAGGATGAGCTTCATTATAGCATTGAAAAAAAAACGTTTTCTTCCCTTAATTAAATGAATTTATCTGTCTTATGACAAATATTAAGAAAACAATGGAATTTTCAAAATTTGATTATCATTGAGTTGTTTAGTGGAGGGCTTTTTCCATGATGTATTTTCAGTGCAAATAAAATGATTAACACATGTTAAAGATTTTTATTTGTTAATTTATACATAAACAATAACGTACGCATGTTTGCTTTGAGCTGTTTGTTTTCATTTTCAGTTGTGGTGGAAGCCCAAAAGATATGTCCTTTTTAATATACTAATAAGTGACTGAATTAAGAAATTTACAAAAATCGACGAGGATTTTTTAGCTTCCTGATTCCTTGATAATTGTTTCCATTACTTAGTAATATAACTGATCATTCTCTCTCTCTCTCTCTCTCTCTCTCTCTCTCTCTCTCTCTCGTCTGAAACCAAATGAATTTTTAAAAATTTACCCTATTACTCACACGAAGAACTTTTCAGATCAATATATCTACACTGTACATGCGAATTATAACATGGATTACAGAATGTGTCGTAAAAACACACAAGATCAAGCTTGGCTTGCATCATTTCATTCCGTTTGTCTTGCAGATGATGTATGATGCAGGTGTGCTTTACAGGTCCTGGAATGATCTTAGTCCATGACAGTACATCACTTCTCATACCATTGTCTCTTAAATCAATCATTATACGATCGACCACGGCCCGGCCCCAGGGGACTCACTGGCCAGCTAAGGTAACCGACACCCCCTCCTCTCGTTAATTAGTGATAATTAAGCCATATACTTGAAATATTGTGATGAATACTGATATATGTTTTATATATATCACATTTCTAAAGTCGGTCCATTTAATTTTATTCGTTTTAGGCAATTAAGTTGACATTGAACTACATATATGAAAGCACAATATATGACATCAAAAGAAACATTTTTTGTGGGAATAAGCTGCCAGTGAGTGGGGGGAAGGGGGGGGTCAAACTATGCCGACTGTAATTTCAATTATATATCGTTTTTAATTGAATTGAAACAAGAATGTTTGAAAATCCGTTATTTTTTTTGTTGTTATGACCAATATATGAGTCCTTGCAATGACATACGCCAAAATTATTAATAAAACCTTGCCATGTCAAAATAGGGTATTGATCAGGCCAGATGTTGAAATATGACACGCAAGTTATACCACCCAGTATATTCTGTATTCTTTTTAAAGTGTCATCTTTTAAAATCAGTTTTGAAAATAACTTTGAAAAATTTAAATACGAAACTTGAAGAAAATAGGCCTTCTTAATGCTGTTGTCAACTAAAACTTAATTTTGCATTGGTCACAGCTTTAGGAATTTCCAGAAAACTTGGAAATTTTGTTTAATGCACCTTTAACATCCACTTGTTATGTAAACTTGAAGATTTGAATAAATATATTTCAGGTGTCAATCGGGAATTGAAGGAAAGTAATGCGATTACTGCGTTTATCAGGCTGATATCAACTGTACGTGGGGGTTGCGAGAGGGGATTGCGATATACTTAATTATTTACCACTAAGATCACACCTGTCTTAACATTCATAACAATTCTTCAAGGGTACTTGTCTAGTGTAGTATGTTGTTTATGCTGCGTGCATCAAACGTTTGAAATTTCAACAGGTGTTTGACGTTAATTCTCATTTGACATGCGAAAACTAGTTCGATTTGACACCCGATTAAGTCCTTATTAAAATGCAGTTTTTTTTTATATGCAAGGATAAACAAGGATATTAAAGAAACCAACGTCCCTTTTTTTGTCATATGTCTTATTTTAATGAACACAATTTAAGTTTAAATGTGCAATTGAAAGTCTTTAAACGGGAAGAAGACCGAAAAACCTTTATCAATTTATTTGTCAAGTACAGTTAATGACTGCCAACTTTCTTATTCACGACAATACTTTGCAAAAAAAATTATTTCCCACTGAGAAGGAAGTTGCAATATTTATGTTAAAGTTCAATGTGTCCCATCTGTGATCAGAAAATCCCCTTTTTATTTTACCCTCTTTGTTCACTCTCGAAGTTTTACTCTGGAAAGATTTGTGCTAGTACGTACCTATATGTGATTTATCGCTAATGCTCATACAATCTATGCATCTTCCCAAATCAACGAGCAAAGAGCAGTACTTCACAATCTTACAGGAAAAGTGTACAAATCCTTTATTTGTTTTAAAGTACCATGAATGAATATCAGTTATAAAAATTATCATCTTTTATCTTTTTCCTTTCAGTTAGGGAAAAAATTGTCATGTCTTCGATCTTTGTTACATCTGAAAAAAAATAAAGATTAAAATAAAAAAAAAAATAGACACAACATACACTTATGAATAACATATCCATATATGCGAGGGGAACACTCACTTTCTTCGAGAAAAAAAATGAAACAAAGCACGTGTTCAGAAATTTCCCCCAGAATGGAATCAATACATCTTTTCTTGACACCCAAAATGTCTGATTAGAACGAGCGATGCTACGGCAAAATGGTTCTTGCGGTTGCCTCAAACCAGAGCACTTTCTGTGTATTGATTTTTCTTCCAAGAAAATACGAAAAAAAAATCCACATCTATGGCTTTGTGAAAGATTTGTTCGTGTGTCGCTCGATTGCCTTTATTTCCTAGATTTTATTTGTGTTTTGTTCTCTTTTTTATTATTACATGTATTTCAAATTTTAGGAATATCTAATTTTTAACTTGTTGAGGATGGTTTCTTCTCTCCTTTATTGTATTTAAGAATTTGATAAAAATTTTCACAGCTTAAAAGAACGCAATGTCAGAAAGTGATATTTTCAATTAAATTGAATTTGACCGTCTTGTTTACCATTTCTGTGTCAATTTCTATAATTAATATAAGAAGGGAGAAAAACTACTGCTCCTAAAATTCCCAATTTCTCAATATCAAGGTTCTAAGAACATTGCATGGTGCATTTTTTTTTCTTATTTTGTTCAATAGTCAGAAAACAGACACGAATCGTTCCCATGTTACATGTCATTAATTTTGCAGGTCATGTTGTATGTAACTTCCAATGATTATAACAAATATCATTCATTGTCTTAAAGTTTCGTGTGAAATACTACAGTATATCGTTCATCCAATGCCTTTTCCGTGAATTCTGGCTTCGTGTCCTTTTACACGGCGACACGTCACCTCTGTAATCAGCTTTTTTACAGTATATCCTACTTATCTATAGTGTGAATGTGTCATGAGTGACTGGATTACTGTTTTGTGTTAATTAAGGAAGCTTGTTCAGTTACTGAATGGTGAGCAACTACAAAGTCTGAAGCACCCTTACACAAGTTGTCCAATGTTATGCAGCTTGCAATTAAGACGCCTTCAAAACGACACTTCAAAGAAAAATATTTCACATGAAAAATTTGTCATTATGTCTCATGGATACTTTTGGCTCACATTTTAGCCCAAGTTCTACTTGTAGCTACTTTGAACTTGAAACCGACAGGAAGTGCTCAAAAGCTGCAGACTTCCTGTTTCGGATCGCTCGAAGTGCTTACTGGAAATACGAAGTCACACAAATTATATTTCCCACTCTTGTCAACCTGAATAACCAACGCAAAAATGTAATAATGTCAGCAAGTTAATGTGTCTTTGCCATCAAACTCTCATATTCCGGAAGCACCTGCGTCCATTTACGGAGTTTGCGCCGTAAATCAGATGGACATTCGTCAAGCATGCGTTTTGACAAACGCCATTTGCACAGTGAGTTTAATTAGCGCCAAGGTGCTTGAATTGATTAACCAACTAATTTATATCGAACTGTTACGTATTGCTCGACACTGGTGTTATTTCGTTCTGATTTACGTATTCGAAGTGAAATATTGATCGATTTTGTTTCACTTTGATAGGAATGCCACCGTGTCATACAACTATGTCAGGCACCTAATTTACACCAAACATTTAATTGTGTTTTCAAAATAATATCACAAAAAATATATACATTAAAACGATTATACGAAAACAGATGTAAATCGTACTAACTGGAACTAAAACCGAACAGGAAGTGTAAAGACTGATCAATATTAGTATTGTACTCACTTGTGCATGTGTCCACACAGTTTAATTAATTTAGCTGCATCAGTAATAAGGAAATATATTTTATTATCATAGTTATTTCGGTTTTAAATTACATTTTTGTTTAATTTACAAACTGTATACGTCCGTATTAAGTTACTTAGATAATTAGAGATCGAAATTCATGCTTTTCAACCCAAAACAATCTGCGCTGCAAATAAACCGGAAATCAAGTCAAAGCTTCATCGATATTTAATGTTAGTAATATCCGAAATCCTCAGAATTTTAAGCTTTAACGAAGCTATTTCTTCCCTCTCTTGACTAACATTGTTTTCCCAGGTCTGGGCAGACAAAAATGTATATCAAGTACAAAGTACTAAAATTCAAAGAAATTTATAAATTGTGTATTTTCTAATTAATTATCGCTCATATATACTCAAGTACTTAGATTGTCTCTTAAATTGGCCAACATATACAAAGTCATGCATGTACCACTATGTTCAAATAACGTTACTAATATGTAGCCATATATAGCGTGACAAATAAGGCGTTTAAGTACTTTAGTGAGCTGCAGGTGTTAGAAATATACATACCATCTGTTCTAGACGGATATACGAGCATCTCTCTCGAATCAGAATGGAAAACAAAGATACGCACATGTAGGAAATATTGTATACTTGTGTCGTGCCGTGTATGACAAAGGGCACTCCTGGCTTAAATACATTTGAACTATGAAATAAAAAGTATTTTTATCTCAATCTTTACTCAAGTTAAACGGAAAAAATAGTTTTCATGAAATATATTTGACCATAAAAACAAAACTGATTGTTAGAATTTTTGAAGTACGGGAAAACAGTACTTTTATTTTTGGGAAAGGCAAGATATTTCTAAATTAATTTGAATTTCTCTTAGAATTTTCTGTCCATAGTAAGTGAAATAGGATGATTCGAACCCAGGCAAATATTTAAATCAGAGAGCTTTTTGCTGTATCCTTAATTATTTGCTGAGGGGAAAAAGTGTCAAACTGCTTTAGCATAGCCTCATGTTATCTAATTGATTTGTCTCTTACAGACTCCAAAAACTACTCACGCAAAATTATATTTCGAACATTTGCGCGTTCAGCATTTGCGGCGTAGTCTATCGCTATCCAAGAAATTTTCACACGATTCTTAATTCAGATCGATACACCGTGCAGCTTTTTTCCAAATAAAATAATGTAATGGACATCGTTTGGTTGTACTAATGAACGTTTTGGAACACTTCAGGGAGATTGGATAGAAATCCATTGATTGCAGGTGTCATCTGCCTTATATTGATTTTGGTCGCAGAATTGATGAACCCTTGAACATTTGCACACCATACAATTCTCATTCCACGATTATTGTAAGTTAATTCGACGCTCAAAGTCAATATGCGTTAAGTATATATTAGAACCCAAAATATTGGATTTTCATTGTGTGAGTATATTTCTTGCTTCGTCACACCTGTCTTTTATCATAGCGAAGGCTCTTTCGTGTGGCACGTGCCGTTTTTTCTCTCTCTTTCGGCCGCGGGTTGAGATCCGTGTGCCAAAGTTTTTTCCCTGATTTTCCCCTGAAACAAACGAAAAAATTCACACATCCTTCGTTGATAATATCAGACGGAAGCATAGGACTGATATTCTATTCTGAATCAATAAACAGCTTTTAAACACCTGCAGAATGGAAAGAAACAGTGATTTAGAAAACAACCGTGATTTATACAAAATCGATCGTATGATCTTTTGTTTTCAGTGCGTGGCAGAACGATATATACATGTCCGGCAGAAATGAAATCTCATCTGAACTCAACATGAATTCACAGAAACGAACTCCTACAACGCCTTAATGGTGGCTCAAAGAAAGCCAACAGCAAGGCAAACAATCATTTATCATAAAACACTGATATCTCCTCTTTTTCAAATGGCGAGAATTTCTTTAAAATTACTTTAAGAAAACAAAGATATTGGATTCTGTCAATCTTATTTTGATATCGTATTTTTAGCTCACCTGAGCTGAAGGATCAATTAATGAGCTTTTCTGATCCGTTGGCTGTCGTCCTCGTTGATATCCTTTGTATTTTTTTTTCACTTTTTCATCTTTTCCAAAACGATTGGACCAGTTTCAATCAAACTTGACACAAAGTATCCCTGGATAAAGGGAATTAAGTTTTCTCGAATGAAAAGCCACGTCCTCTTCCAAGGGGATGGGGGATAATTAAGAAATAATTAAGAATGAGAAAATAAAGTGGGATTATTTAAAAAAAAAAACTGGGCCAGAAAAAATGAAACACGTGAAATCTATCTGGCTTAGTGTAGATTCAAGTATCTTGAAATCATAATTTGGATAGGGCCATCTCGGGCGATCAAATTTTTAAATAGGACCTTGACAGAGACAAGCAAAGTCAAAGAATTGTGGTGCCCCGCTTTCGGTGTCTTTGTGGATGAGATGTCTTTATGACATAATCATATTGTTTAAATATTAACGTTCTATCATGTGTCATTCAGAAGTAATCACCGAAGCTGATTTTTTTTTTTTTGAAAATAAGGTCAATCGTGAAGGTCAAGGTAAGGGATAAGATATAGTATGCTCGGAAATATCTTGTCCCAGGTAATGCACATGTCAAATATGAAAGCCCTGTATCTTCTCAATCAAAAGTTTCTAGGAAAAATTATAATTTTTGAAAAAGTAGGTCAAACATCAAGGTCAAAAGGTCAAAAATCAAAGTGTATGTAGAAAGGTCTTTTCACAGGTAATACACATCTTTAATACGAAAACCCTATCTCATCTCATTCAAAAGATATGACCAATTTGAAATAATATTTAATTTTTTTAAAGTAGGTCAACTTCAAGGTCAAGGTCACGAGGTCAAAAATAATAGTGTATTTAGAAAGGTCTTGTCAAAGGTAATAAACAAGTATAATGTAAAAGCGCTATCTCTTCTCATTCAAAAGATATGCGCAAGGTTAAATTTTTTGTGAAGGACGGACAGACAAATGAGATTTAATGTTCCGGTGTAACGTTGAATATTGACCCGAGTTGTAAATTGACCCGAGGTTCATTTTTCAATGTTGAACTTTGAACGGGGGTGTTTTTTTAACGTTGAAAATGGAGACCAAAAGTCGTTGAATTTATACCCGGGGTCATTTTTCAACAGCTTGATATTTTTTTTTCTTATCCCTATGACCTCAACAAGTTGAATATTGACCCCACCTCAGAGTTTCAACATTTTTTTTGAATTGGGAGGTGTTTTACGGGATTCATCAAAATCTCTATATTTATATTTTGATTTCAATTTTTCCCTTTTCAAGAATAAGAGATATAAACCTATCATCCCGTGTATGTTTTGATCAGTACACGATTTTTGTTATTTTCAAGCAGGGTAACTTTATTTTTTAACAATACTTTCTAAAATCCATAGCATCCATAAATAACTACAAAACTACGATGATGAATAGAGTCATAAAATCCTGGAAATCCTATCTAGTCAATTTAGTATAAAAAGTAAAAAAATTATAGCCACAAAATTAGAATGAAAGACATCGGTTAAAATGAATCCAATATATCAAAGGTTATATTTGTAAAAAAAAAGATCAATATAGTGACCATAACACGTAAGTAAAACTGACTTTAAACAAGGTTGGTGAAAACAGTGTAACAAACTTTTCTGTCAGTAGCCTGTCTCAGCCTAAAAATTGATCATTCTCGGGGAATCTCGGAGCATAACCTTGAAAATGAGTACAAGGGCTAGAGTCTGGATGGACTAGAAACTACTCTTCTCACCATCTTAGATACCAATAATTAAAAAACTTCATTTGTTCTAAACAACTTAAAAAAAACAACTAAAAAGGGCATTCCTCTTCAAAGAAACCAAGAGAGAGAGAGAGAGAGAGGGCCCTAGAGTTTTTGCCGTAGGCTAGGAATGGTGTCAAATTAAATCCCCTTCGGGTTTGGCTAGTTTCCCTCTTTGTTTGCTTGTTTGTTTGTTTGTTTCGTTTATTTATTTTGTGTATGTTTTTTTTGTCAATATTTCAGGGGGTTTTGACACCATTCCCCGCCTACGACAAAAACTCTAGGACCCTCTTTCTCTCTATCTCTTGGTTTCTTTGAAGAGGAATGCGCGTTTTAGTTGTTTTTTTATTTGTTTAGAACAAATGAAGTTGCAGGGACGGTGCGTGTTTTAATTGTTGGTATCAAAGATGGTGAGAAGTGTCCATTGTCCAAACTAGTAGTCCAAACCCGAAAATTTCATTTGGGGGTGGGATCCAATTTCTTTTCTTTTTTAAGCACTACACTAACTCTTCTTTCTTTGACTACACTGTAACGTGCCTGTTGAAAAGGGGGGTCTAAACCAATTCCATATTGTTCAATGCCTATATTTATGTCTATCTTTGCAAAAAAGGGGGGAAGCATCCTCAGATCCACCCTTCCTAATCACAGTTGTGAAAACCAAGTCATAAATATGTGTTTTTATGCTGTTGAATTTTGAACCGGTTTCATGATCAAAATTCCACGACCCGGCTCAGTTTTCAATGGGCTAGGGTCTAAATTCAACTCATTTGATCTCACTATTCAACGTTGAAAAATGACCCCCGGGTCAATTTTCAATCCGGGTCAAAATTCAACGTTACACCGGCCTCGCTTTTGCGAAAGCGGAGGACAAAAACAAGATGTGCTTGTGAAACACTGATGCCTCCGTATGGCAGTTTATGGCGAGGGTTGTAGTTTCTCAAAAGCACGTCAAACTCCAAATGTCAAGGTCGAAATATCAAAACTGTTAGAACTCAAAGGAAGGTCTTGTTACATGGAACATCTGTGAAAAAATGAAAGCCATATTTATAATTGTTCGAAAGTTATGACTATAAAGGTTAAATTTTTTTTAAAGTTTGGCCCACTATTAAAATCTTTAAAGTATTGTTATTCGCTCTAAAGAACAGGAAAGATGTACCATAACGCCTTAATCATAGGGGTATGTTGATCATAACTTTTGAACCGTTGTTTCTAGTGAATTAGTATTTCACGGATATATTTCTTGTTACAAGACGTTTCAATAGGTTTAAAAAATATTTGACCTTTCGACCTTGATCGTAGAGTTTGGTTCTCATTAAAAAAAATAACCTTAAACATAACTTTTGTAGTACTAGGGATTTCATATTTCACAGATGTATTCCTTGTAACAAGATATTTCCTTGGATACCAACAATTTTGGCCTTTTGACATTGACCGAAGAGTTTGACCCACTTAAATAGACTTTAACCTTGACCATGACTTTTGAACCATTAGTATTAGGGCTTTCATATTTCACGGGTCTATTCCTTGACAGACCTCCATTGAGTACCAACAATTTTTACTTTTTGACCTTGACCTTGGAGTTTAACTTGCATTTAAGAAATTTCAGTCTTCACTATAAGCTGCCATACGCGGGCATCAGTGTTTCACAAATATATCATGTTACCGAATTAAAATCATACAACAACTGAACCATATGTCACAATACTCATAACAAATTGTCAAACTCGACTGAGACGCGATTTTATTGTTGTTCTCAATTCTTTTAGCTCATCGAAGCTATATGCCTCCAATTTTTAACAATCCAAGTTAAACTAATATCTGGCATTCGATATTAGATATCTTAAAAGCTTAAACTCTGTTGCTTACTTGTGAATATTAATATACATGTATATTGTAATGTTTGCTTTCATTGAATAAATACAAAATGAATCGGTTTCCTTTTTACCATTTACTTGTGTGTCACTTAAAATGATTTTACTATATTTCTGAGAAACACCATTGACTGAAGGAAGAAAGTAGAAAAAAGATAATTTTATTGAATTTCCACGAAAAAAAAAAAGATAAATTGCTGATGAAAAAATTAGCAACAACGGATATTTAATATCAGCAGGAATTGTTTTAAAGATAGCTTCTGAGAAACTGTTGAAATTCATGCAAGGGAGCCAAATTGTATTTTAATTTTGGTTTGATTTGGAGGGGAGGCAAAAGGAATTAATGTAACTATAGCAAAGATCTGCTCTAGTCATTAGAAGTAGGAAATTACTTAAAAAATATATAGCTTCAGATCTGTAATATTGTTTTATCTATCTTTGCCACTTTGTTTCTTATTCCAAGTTTAAAATTTCATTTGTCTTTTAATGAAACTTACTTCAATTTCAGAATATATAAAAAAAAAAAATACGTATGCTATTCATGTATTTAAGTTTATGAAGATATTAAGTTTGAAAGTAATAGGCGATTAATAATGACTTTTCAGCGCGAAATTATCACCTATTAGCTCATGGAAAAAAATTCTGGTCCTAGAATACCACCATCGAACACTTATTTATTAGTACAGTTGTTCTTTAAATTTTACTTCAACTATACAAAAAATAAAATTTTGAATTATAGATTGATACTAAAATTTCAATACAAGATGGTCCGACTGTTTAATGTTAAAAACTTCAAAGCATGTTACTTATTTCATGGTTAAAATAAGCATGTTTCCTTTCCTATTGAGACCCATGGCGTTTCCGGTCCACCTGCAGAAAGTTACATCACACGCAGGGGGTACCTCAGGCTAACATGACAAAAGTGTCTTATCGTAAAAACGTATAAAAAAGGAATTAACCTGTTGACATACCCAACAACAACATTTCTAAGCTGGAATTTGTAATCTTTTTCATGAGTGACCTTAATGATTTCACACCATGGCATTCTATGAAAACTCAGTCGTAATTTAGTAGTTCTTCGAATGCATGTAAACGTTTAATTTTTCTTTCTTTTCTGTTTTTAAGTCAGTTTTCAAACCAAACAGTTATCACGGCTATTTGCAAACACCAATCTCTGTCATATTCCCAGATATCCGTAATCTTTTATTGTCGTAACGAAATCATAATCATATAGACGATATCAGCTGATGAAAGTCTTGCAGGTGTTCCACTTTCATATTCTGTCCAAACAAGTCTCAAACCCACTAATGAACCCGGGGGTTGATAGAAAATTGATTAAGAACAAAAGGTATCGGAAAGTACTGGGCCGCATCAGTTGTGCAGGTGTGTAATAAGGCCTAGCACATTAGCATGTATATTGATTGATCTAAAACGGGCCGAAACTCGCCAGATTGCTTGTGTCAAATAAGTTGCAATCAAGTCGCGTTTCGTCGTAATGACTATCAAGTGCACTCTCAAGACATATATTATTTATCAAAAATAACATAAGGTGTGCACGGATCTATTTTTCCCTTTTCTTTTTTTTTCATTGTTGTGAAATGACACCGTTAAACTTCAATCTTTCATGACTTTTTTTGTTAAATTTACGAAAAATGCTACAGAAATGAATCAATAAACTAAATTAAAGAAAAACAACTATTGACTTTACCCTATAGCGAAAAAAAACGATGTTTACGGAAACAACAGAAAAAGATTGAGCAATAAAATCAATAAGAAGAAATACATGAATCCGGCCTGATTGAAAGTTGGCATAACTGATGCCCTTTTGACTGGCCATGTCCAAAATGATTGATTTATGCCGCAAAGGAGATACACCAACTCCGAAATATGCATTTGTTTGTCTTGGGGAAATGGGAATCTTACATCAAGAAGAAGTCGATAAAAATAGCCAAACGTCTGTTCTTTACTTCAAAGGCCTGTACTCTTTATCTGGTATAGGTATTGCAGAGAGAATTATAACATAAAAGACACAATTTCAAGTCTAAAAACATATTCATGGAACCGATCTGATATCCATATGGCGAAACAGATGTGATCAATATGTCAAATGCCCGAATACCAAGTGCCAAAAGAGATTAGAAAATGGTGGCAAAATATGGATGACACATGGTCTACTTGGGGCTGGTATGCATGGGAAAACTAGCGCACAAGTGGTCATCTGCTGTGTTCGTTGTCGACACGCAATATGCCGCCCACTGTATCAATACCCGATTTCACCTGCGCGACATGTGCGTCAGGGTGCCCTTCTGGATTGGTCAGCCTCACCTGTAGGCAAGGGCGGCTGTTAGAAAATCGCGGGGCACGACTGCTAATTAGATGTCAGATGTAAGTTTTTCTCATGGAGCGCGATTTTGTCGTAAAAATGATTTCTTCCGCACGCAGATGGTCAGGGGCGCGTTAATTTCTCCTGCAGCTGTGACGATCTGAGGTTTTTGCGATAAGATGGCATCATTTTGGCACTGGACACGTGCATTTTTGTGGGATTCTGACCACGCCATCGTATACTGCATGCAATCAATAAAACTCACGTCTAATACAATTCCCTTGGGTCGGTGAACTTTCCTTTGATTTTCTTTACCCGAATTGATACAAAACAAAGCCCATGTGAAAAGAAAACAATACGTCTAAGATATTTCATTTGCCTTTAATCGTGACCGTTGTTTGTTTATGTGTGAAATGTACATTTCATTAGGATATGTTTATTTTTCCTTGATCATTGTACACATATTGGATGTTTTCTCAGGTGGGGGCCAACAACAGTGCTTGAAGACCCCGTTCTTGAAGGATAACACATAGCTAGCCACCTGGGGAACAGTAGCATAACCGAGTAAATAAACAAACACATGCTTATTGTATCTAAATTGACATAAACATACAAAAACTATTATTGTTCACGTGCTTTTCTCTCGTGGCACCAAGCTGCCCATTTGATTTAGATTTTAGACTCGAGGTCCATTTAGTAGCATTTACTTTAGATGTATGATAACTGAGTATTCCATATCTTTTCTATGAAATCATGTAGATAAGTTAATAATTCCTATCTTCGTAAGAAATCTGACGGAGTGTCAGGCTCTACCCATATTATGAGAGATTACTCCAATTGATACCCAAAATTGTAGTCAACATCATATATACTTCATATAAATATATTCTTATGTCGAGAAAAAAATGACAATCTGATCAAATTTGTCTCAAAATTTTTCCTTTTTTTACCACTTACAAGTACAAATTACTTTTATCTTTTTCTCATCTCTTCGCCAGGTGTCGATGGTACTAAATCCACAGGCCTCAGGTACAAAATACGTCAGTCTGTCAAAGCAATGCTCTGTGGGACCCAGGGTTATATTGCCTTATAACGGCAGATACGGAAGATTATACACATGTTCAAGACATGTCAACCCCGCTGGGCTTATTACTAATGCCCCTTGCTCAAGGAAATCGGGACTTTTCCACTTAAACAATTAACGACTGCTATTATAATTTGTTAATGAGGCATGTCCTGATATATTGCATATTGTGATGTAATGAAGTGACAAAACTCGTTGATTGTTTTTGGCGAAAAAAGTTTTAATATGAATCGTAATAAAATTTTAATAAAAATACAACAAGAAAAAAAAATATACATTTGTAAAAAGAAAAAAAAAACTCAAAATAATACAGAATCGGTGGCAATATTTTGTTCTTCCATATACAGAATTTTAACAATGAGTTTTTTTTTTTAAACAAGAGAAAAGTTCTTGTTCGGCGTCGCCAAGTTCATGCTTTCTGTCCACTATGTACAGAATTCTGTCCGAGGATTGGTCACTAATTGTCCACTCGGCACGAATCGTAAGAGAAGTAGTGACAAAAGAAAATGTAAACGTATATACAACTGAAGTCCAACGAAGGGTTGGTACTAAAATGTCACTACTTCACACAAGCTGCTTGTTCACCAAGGATGGGACCGCTTTTATTTTTTCCCGACTTTTCTTCCTCCTCTGGTGACCAGCATTTTTCGTCGTGCTTGAAGTTGACCAACTCGGTTTCATTCTTGGAGTTCTCATGCTTTTATTTGTTCATAAGGCTCCGTTCAAATGTGGCAACTCGCATGGAAAATTTGGGGTTCCAATGCTGTAATTAAATTAAACAGAAAATACTTAATAAAATTTCATAATGAATTCCAAGTGACGTCAGTAATTATCTATCTCTTTCATGGGAACAGGTGGGGGCTGTCCGATATATTAAGGAATCTTTAACTTAAACATTTTCTCGACTGCACCTGTTGATACAGTAGACCCGACACTCGAGAGCTTTTACTTTAGATGGCGCCAGCAAGTCTGAGACACAACTGGGCGAGAATTTTAACTTTATCTTCCCACAAATTTCTCATTTTAACCTCATTGAATATGATCAGGTTTTTAGTACATATTTAAACATATCATTAGACAAGGGAAAAAAATACTCACCGATTGTTAGTTCACATCCGCAAAGGGAGACACGGGTTCTCTTTACTTTGAATCGCAGGATTCATCTTGATCCATTGAGACTGCCATCTAAATAACGAGAAAATATTATTTTTATTTATTTACATAAAGAAATGAAGTCCAAATTATCATCAATTATGTTAAACACTGGAAGATGGATGTCAAATCAATATCATTAACATTATTATATACTAAGACTGTTCTTACCTGAGTAAAGGCCTGAATAGTGTTTGGCTCGGGTTTTTCTGAGAGTGGGGCCCGGTTAACATTGGGTAGAGGCTCGGTTAGCACGGCAGGGTTGAAGTCAAGGGCTGTCTCCAAGTCCAAAATATAATCAATCACATGTTGCAACAACTGGGTCTTGGATAGCCTCTTGTCTTGTGGCACAGACGGTACTAATTCCTTCAGTTTAGAGAAGCACGCCTGCATTTCTGCGGCACAGTCATCAACTTTCTTCATCACTTTCATAGAATCCTTCTTCATGCCGAGTTCCACTGGTCTTACACAAGGTTGAGTAATGGCTTTCATGTTTTCTCTGCGAGTTGTTGGTAATATCGATTGACTTGTTCTACGTACTAGCTCTTTCCTTGCTTAGCTTGCAAATGTAACAACGAGGAATACTTCGTGTATAAATATTCACTTGTAATAACCGTGAGTAGATATTAGCTCCGCCTACTCCAATTTGCCATAGGCTGAACTATTTTCTCAAAGGGGTCATTGTACCGTTATCAACCAATCATTCAACAGCAAGGCCACGCCTACTGAAATCTGTGTAGTGTAAAATATTAGATTATTTTCATTGATTTATTGTTATTTCTTTAATTTTTCCCTATAATCATCGATATAACTTTAAAAGTATAAAATCGGAAAGTTTTATACCATTTTTACTTCAATGATACTAGTTTCAACAGGTAAAAATCAAGCCAGTTTTCAATATAAATATTTTCGCCATCGAGGCGCCGACAGTGTGACGTCACTCATTCTTCTTTCATACTGTATGCTATGGTCTAGGCGCCATCCAGGCGGTCGCTAACGTTTTTGACGTGCCAATCACACACAACTTCAAAGCTGCCGCCCTGAAGTAACTGATAAATTGCATTAAAATTCGTCACCTTCGGCCCCCTGATACTTCACACTCGCACACCTGCGTATTTGCATATAATCATGTACTACAGAGTATTTAGATACGATATAGCTGGCGCCAGAGCTCTGAAAAAGATTAACAAAAATAAATACAGCGTCTAGGAGGGGTATTTAAGTTTATCGTAAATTACTTGTAAAAACAGGTATACTTTAATACAAGGAAAGTTTCTTCCCATGGATCATGACAACGAGAGATTCAACCGAACAGGTGTGCTTGTCCATTATCTAGACAAAGAGAAGACTTTTTGCCTGATGAATTAACCGGTCTTGATTCAATATGTTCTCTGTAAAAGGAGTGCAAGAAATTGAGATGAAACACATTTTTTGTTTTGTATGAAAAAGGTACTTTATTTCAAAATTGTTAATTTGTGTTAAATGAGAATCCTGTATATCCAATTTCAAAAATACCACAGAGGCGGTCCTTCCTCAATGTGAGAAATTAACTTTCCTTAATTCACCTGAGAACGAAACTTACACATCCTTAATCAAATTTCAGCAAAACATACGCAATATTTAATGCACTCCATTGCCACGACTGGAAATTAAAAAGTCACATGTTTCAAACATTGGTGAAAAAAGAAATGAAAAACGTAGAATCCTCTTAGGCGGTTCTGTTTTTGTTTCAACCAGGTATGTACATTTTTTTGGTAATAATTCCATTTGAGTCGCGTGCCAGGAGTGTGCCGATTGAAATCGACGCGTGCCATTTGTATAAAATTTCAGCAGGGGGTGGGGCTTAGGTACAATAAGGCATTATCAAAAGGAGATCTGACGACATTTCAATGAACAGGAATGTGTTCCGGTCTCGTGTAAGAAAGGTGCACAGCCAATCAGGGATGTGAATTCTATCACGTGACTTACTATCAAGAGGGTCAACGAGTTCATCGTAGTAAAATTTTGTGTAGAAATCTGCTACTGAAAACTTTCTTTAAATTTCCTTCTTTCTATATTTAATAAATCATAAGATACAGAAATCATTTTAAAGTTTAATTTGATATAATTTTTTTTAATTCTTGGTTTTGTGCTGAAATGTGCCACTTCAAAAAATTCAAAGGATGTTAAAAAAAATAAAATCAATTTTCCTTCGAGTGCTCTAGGGATGAATAAAGTAAAAAAAAAATGACAGAATTATTGATCGAGTTTTAGAGAATTCAAAGAATCGGCCAGTAAAAGCAAATTGAAGCGAAATAAACACAAAATATAAATAAACAAAGATCAACAACAAAACTAATTAAACAATTCTTTCAATTAACGTAACAGTAAAGCACACATACACATATACATTAAAAAGAAAACAAAGACTAACAAATCAACAAACAAAAACAATGTTAATCTTCACAGCTAGAAAAAATAGAAGGTCTCAGAACCAGACGCGGTACCGACATAATCTTTGAATTCAATCTATTTCCCGGCTTGGATAATCCCGGTCCAGTATTTGGTCCGAAGCTTTTAGCACCATCTTACAATAAGCGTTATTTGTTTTGACATCATCTTGTTGTATTGCCGTCCACGGTCGCTCCAGGTGGATTCTCACGGTTATATTCGTTGTCCAGTAGGTATTGACACGTAGCCATTGTGGTCGCACCTGGGTACCTCGAGCACTTGACCGTTCTTTAAGCCCTTTATGTTAAGGGTCCAATACGATTATGTCACTGCTATTCTGCACAGGTGCCCTAGGAGAAGGACAATAGACCGATAATTCCCTCCTAAACGTTACCTCACCAGCAGTCTTTGAAATTCGGAGACAAGCATAAGTAATTAGTTATAGGCGAATTTCTTTTGTTGGTTTTATGATGGGAATAAATGCAGACAATATATTAAAAATTATGCATTTGTACATTTTTAAAACAGAGAATTCTTTTTTTTATGTTAATTATTTCTCTGTATGAAAGGTTCATTATAATTGAGCAAAATTTTTGACATGGCATATTTTCACCTGCACTGAATATGATTTGATTGCCTAATTGACTCATAATAACTGACTGTACGAGAGTAATTAGCGAGGTATTTGCATAATAATTATGCAATTCACATGCCATGGAGGATTTCGTGCCATGGCCCCCACATTAGTGACGCTAATTGTGGATTTCATTCCTTAATGAAAAGCTTTCAAATCAGTTCTACAATAAAGCCAATTAACATACAAGACAATTAATATCATATGAAATCAAATTATTTAACCATTTCATCAATTTTTTTTTCTATATGAGATATACTCAACATATTTTTTTCACTCAAAAGGTTGTAAAATAGGTTTGAAAGAAATATATGGACATTTCTTATATTTCCCCAAGAAAAATATATACTTTTCAAACTATACTTTTTCGGAAAAAAAATCTCAGGGTAATAGTAGGATCTGATATGGGTGAGATAGGCAAGGTCCAGTAATTTTGCCCAGCCGAGTCGGGGGGATGCGCCAGGCGGTCTGCATATTTAACTCTAGGAATTTTAAACAAAGTCGAGTACTATAATGTCGTACTGTATCATGTAACGCACAGTGTGATACAAAAGATTGCTTCCTTTGAAAGTCATTTAGCTAGGTCTAGTGAAGTTTAAAAAAAATGATTAATTGAACATATTCCCGAATGACAACTACGAGACATATACATGTAGGCTAGGCCTCTATAAACAATTGGTATTTGTGTTATATGTTGTTTTCTTTCTTTTCTTTCTTTCTCTTTTCTCTCTCTTTTTGTTCAATTTTCTATGACCCGTTTATTTTTTTAATCAAATAAACGTGAAAAAATACTTTAAAAGATTAATAATGAAAAGCAAAGAAAAAAGAAACCAATGGCACAGAATTCGAGAACTTAATTAATTGCAAATCTTTTACTGGCGAAAATTTTGCAAAAAGATAATATATATAAAAGATATTTCATTTAGACACCCCGAATATTTCGATAGACAAATATAATTGTTGTATATAATAAGTATTCGATTTTTGTGTTGTAAAATTTGAAAAAGACAAGAATTAATTCTTCTGCATTTTTATTATTAAGCTAAAAGTGCATGTCTGTTTCATGTCAAGTTATAACCTTATAAACCATTCAATCCATCGTAAGAAAATGGGGGTACTTACTTATGTAACTTTATTACCAATTCCATGTCAAAGTGACTGTAATCAAGTTGGGATTTATTTGGCAGCATCAATTAATTCCCGTCATAAAACGGCCATAGGATGGACAATATTTACAAACAGTCACTGTCTATATCAATAGTTTCTACATGACAACATTGGCCTGTCAAGTTAATTATAGTCATGCACACCTGGTATATACTATCGTACCAGTCCCTCCGGATGCAGAGAGATGGGTTCATTCTTTGTTGCTGTTTTTACATGTTGACCTAAATATTTCTGGCTTGAAATTGACTACAATTGAGTACAATATCTAAATATGATTTTCATAAAAAAAGCTTTGTTTTTTCAAATAAAAACATTTCTTTTACCCCATTTCGAGATTAATTTTATTTTAAATTTATGTCACTAAAAGCTTTCAGACTTAGTATGTTCGACATGAAGAGAGATTTTACCACCCCCCCACCCCCCCCACCTTCCGCCTCCATCGTTAACTAATACAGCGGAATCACAATTATAATATAAACTCACATAAATATAAGTACTGTAAGTAATATTTCCTATTGTATCGATCACTTCAGGGTTCTTTGAATGAAATATATATGGACCGTGTCTTTACCTTTCCACAATTGAATTATTACCAAGCCACTGGCATTCAATGGTGATTGATTGTTCAAAAGCATATGCTGTACTCTTATATAAAGATATTTTTAGTTGATTCTAAATTCAGATTTAAATTTGCTTATTTTGAAATCCTTTCGGTTGTAAAACAGCTCTTGTACAAAAAAAAAAAAATGATCTTAAATAATTTTATTTATTTATTTTTCTTTAAATTAACAAGTGTGTAGAACCTTTCTTACGAAATTACGGCTATTATCAAGATGAGATTTATTGGCAGCTAGCATCAATTAATTCCCGTCATAAAACGACCATAGGATGGACAATATTTACAAACAACCACTGTCTATATCAATAGTTTCTACATGACAACATTGGCCTGTCAAGTTATTTATAGTCATACACACCTGGTATATACAATCCTATCGTACCCAGTCCCTCCGGATGCTGAGTCCATCTGTTGTTCTTTTTACATGTTGACCTAAATATTTTTGGATTAAAATGGAGTACAATATCTATAAATATGATTTTCATAAAATAAGCCTTATTTTTCCAAATAAAAACGTTTCTTGTTACCCTTTTCGTAATTAATTTTATAATTTTAAATTTATGTCACAAAAGTTCTCAGACTTCCTCTGCTCAGATTTCCTCTGCATACAGAGTGCTTGTAACACCCCCCCCCCCTTCACCCCACCCCACCCCGGCCTCCATCGTTATCGAATACTGCGGGAATACATTTTTTATATAAATTCACAAATATATAAGTACAGTTAGTAATATTTTCTATTGTATTCATCACTTTGATTGAACCGTGTCTTTACCTTTCCACAATTGAATTATTACCAAGCCACTGGCATTCAGTGATTGATTGTTCAAATTTAGCATATGTTGTACTCTTAAAGATATTTTTAGCTGATTTTTAAAATTCAGATTCAAACTTAATTTCAAGTCCCCTTTATTTTGAAATCTTTGCGGTCGTAAACAGCTTTTGCACAAAAATAAACATTTTATCTTAATTTTTATTTATTTTTCTTTAAATTAGCCGTGACAAGTGTGTATAACCTTTCTTAGGAAATTTTGCATTTAAGGACAGACGAGACGTTCCTTAATAATAGATAAATTTTCATAAGAGTTTGTCATTGAAGTGTTGCTACTTAAACATGTTTACTCACAAAAAATTGAGGTACCTTACCAGGCATTTCTGCAAGATACCAGGGGTAGTTTTTCTTATCTAATCCATTGGGGAAGAAAAATAATTTTCCAATTTCAAATTTTTAAGAGTTTAGACTATTTAAAAACGTTTAGAAACTGGTTTAGACATCAGAATGTTATTAAAATTTTCAATATTTTTCATATATTACGAAGATATACAAAACCAATTTTGAGGAACGTCTCGTCTGACCTTAAAAATCGATCATATGAAATTCTACTATAATAGTTTAAAGGTTAAACTTTAAAACAAAGTTTCCATTAATTTAATCATTCATAAAAATTTTTTTGTTATATTTAATCTAAAAAATATCAAATATATAATTTTATTTGTTCCTTTTCATTTTGTTTGATCTTCACCTTTCAATTTCTCTTTCGCAGTTGGGAAAAATTATCTTTTAACACGGGTACTTGTTATCAGGCCCCCCACCCCACCCCATCAATTCTTTCTTAAAGTGTATGGTGGAGTATTTTTTGTGTGTTTTTGATACGAATATTTTAGTATTTTCCTGATTTTTTCTTAATTCTTATGGAACACTAATCCGCCTTGATAAAAATGAAATGAATATAATTTGTGAGAAAAAGTTCAACAAGCCTGAGAGATGAATACTGAGTATTGAAGGGAGGGGGTGTGTGTGCTGTCCATGAGTAGCTGCATCAAAATCATCCAAACAAGCATGACTGATTAATCATCTTTAAAGGAGAAAAGAGTCCAGACAAAGTGAAATATTCATTTTTTAATTCATTCGTATAATTTATAAACATATTCGCTAAAATAT